AAATGACAGCTAATTAAGCTTCTGAGGTCGCAGCAGAATGTACATCATAATTTAAGAAAATATAATCTATGATTTCTACATCAGTCACCCGCAATCCTGTGGAATTCTTCTTTGACGGTTCTAAGAGGTTTGTGTCCGGGAAACACCACCATCACGCGTAACAGGCGCTTCAGTGCGAGGGGAACTTTCCTCACAGCTCTACAAACTGGTGCCTTGCCAAAGTGCTCTGCATCCCCGATGTTGTAAAGAAAACTACCATTTGCAAATAAACGTAGCGCGATGCATAAGATTTGCTCCGATGTGAGTGCACGTCCGGTGTGTGCGGTTGGTGATAGACGGCCGGAGAATGTTAGTGAGATAAATGACACCTTGTGAGGAAAAGCGGTAGCGTTCTAACAGAAATTCCTCTGGAAATGATAAAACGTCTAATCTGGGTCGGAAGACTCTCGCGACGTAAAGCATTTCTGATCACGACGGCGTCGATGTCAATTGGATTCGGTAGGAATGGGCAATCCATTTCTACCAGCTTCCTTCGTGTGGGAGGAGACGGTAGAAACTCCGGGTTTCTCATAGTAAACCTGCCAGCGAGCAGGTTACGCTCACAGTCTGTTGCCGTGGTGATTGACTCAGAGTGTCAGTTACCTCTCTATCTCTATCTTTCCCTGATCTCAGGGTTAATTTACTCTTGAGTTTTCACATAACCCGCTTTCTGGAACACCCCAGTCATGAGGCAGCGTTTTACTCCGAACACTCACACTCTTTTCCCGACGTGTTCTGTTGGATTTTGAGGTTCTCTTTTGCTTCTCCGGTGTCGTTGCTTGCTGACACACTCGAGTCCACGTTGCAGCGTCGTGCTGGAGCCTTTTTTCACCCCCTTTTCACCCCTGTGAGCAACAATATGACCGGCGAAGCAAACTTCATGACATCCTAAGTCAGGATACAAGATGTTTTTGTGCTTGCATCCCTGCATCGTCTGCACCGTGACCTTTGTTCTAAATACTACCACCTGAGGGCGCCAACATCTAAAGGTTTTCACACCCTACAATCCTAATTCTAAACATTTGAATCCATTGGTCCATCAAGAACTAAAGCAAATACTCTGATCCCTGTCTAACCCTGGTGTTTTTCCCCCATATTCTCTCCTCATGTTGATGTTCATTCCCCTGATTGTTTTTGTTTTGCCACGTGTTTGTGTTTTTGTTTCTGTGTCCCCAGCAGTGTCCTCAGAGTCCCGCCCACTGCCACGCCTTCCTCCATTGACACAGCTGTGTCTCATCTTCCCGTCATCCCAGCCGACATGAATGCCGCAGCTTTCCTCGCCTCCAGCTGTCAGTCCGTCCGTTAAAGCACGCCGGTATCTCGGCTCCGTGAGTGATTTCAGTCCTGCGTGATTCCGCAATGACCGCTTGTTTGTTTTTTTCTCACTCTTGCCGTCCAGCGTCGAACCTCGGCTCTTCACCTGGCCGAGCAGGTCGCCAGTTCGTAGCAGCGACCTGCTCCTGCATCCGAGCCTCTGGTGTCACACAGTCGAGGTCCCCTGTCAGTCCCGCCGCCTCGTCGCGCTGCGGCACAATCACCCTTCCGAGTGATGACGGATCGGAGCGCACGTGGCCGATTCCACTCGTTTCCTTTTTTCAGCCACTCACAATTGACTTGTGTGTCCTGTTGGTTTTTTTTGTCCTGCCGGAGAAAATAAATTCTGCTGTTGGATTGGTAGAAGCCGAGGTGGTCCCGCGTGTTGCATTTGGGTCCGTTTGCACATCGTAACAAATAAAAGCAGAGCTACCAGCTCTCTCGGTTTCGCCGTGTGACACACGCTTTTGCATGTTTTCACACGCACTCACGCCACACAACCAATTTCTCACGGCAAAAAAAAAAATTCTGATTTTGGGCCGAAGCGCGTTTGTTCCCTTTCAAACTCCCCGACGATAGATGGCGCTAAGGAGCGCATCTGTAAACCCTTTCGCTGCACAGACCTCCTATTTACCCCAAAGAATCCCGAAGTTACCAACAGAATACGATTTTCAAACCGACACAACCGCGGGAGAAACTCAGGAGCAGCAAAGACTAAGGCACGTTAATGACATGTGGTTCAATTAAGTACTTTTTAAGGTTTTTTTGAAAAGTTGGCAGCTCTGAATACAGTGCGTTTTAGCTGCAGTCAAACATTAATAAATAAACGCCCATTGAGCTCGTCCCACAGTATCTGATGGCTATTTTAGGCTCACATACGGGTACACAATCATCTGTCTTTTTTGAAAGAATAGTTGCAAACTCGGGTGTTGAGTATGTAAGTTAGTTTAAAATAGAAAAATAATAAATTAAGTAATCTTAATCCAAATCTCAAAAAACATTTAAAGGCAGATTTCCAGTGGACTTAAATCTATTAGTCCTGTTTTGCTGAGGCAAAGGTGCAAAGTACCTCTAAACTGTTAATGGCTTTAAAAAGTCAACCACGTATGAACTAAATATAAACACGCTCCCCTTTTTGCAACCTTTTAATTGTATTCTTGTGAGTATATTTGAAGTGGATACATACTTCACTAAGGACTCAAATTATGCTGATCACATGTGGTTGGTACATGAGTTTTTCAGGAAAAGACATTTAAATAGAAAGAGGAACGGTTTGACCTGGTTCTCTTTTTTCTGGTCTCTTCTCTCCACAGTGATGTCAGCCGTGTGACTCCGCTCTAAACAAACTCTCCCCATCGGTTATCTTTTACCTCTTTCCTCTTTGTACAAACAACATTAATGCAAAGTATTGTAGCGTGCCTTAAGTTCATAAATGTATATGGCTCTGATTGATGTTACTGTTACGTAGGCCAGGGTTGGGGTACCGCCCCTTCCGGGGAATGTGTGTAGTTTTCGGAGAGCACAGGAAAGGGAAGTTGAGTTCTGACTAAGTTGATGACCGGGGGCCTGTTTCAATAAGGAGGTTCAACCAACTCTGAGTTAAAACTTGAACTCTGAGTTGACTTACCCTGAGATGGGAAACTCTGAGTTTTCGGTTACAGAACAGCTGAAATGAGTTAGTTCAATCAACTCTGAGTTGACCTACTCTGAGTTAAGCGCGTGCACCACAACTATAAAAAGCCATTATCAATGGAGCGCAGATATTACGAGTCACCATGGCAACAGCGCCAGACAAAAAGAGGTCTTCATATTTTTCACCAGCAGAACTGGATGTGCTTATGCAAGCATATGGAGAGTACGAACATATATTTTTAAAAAAAAGCAACACGGCTGCAGCGGCGAAGGACAGAGAGTTAGCTTGGGAGAAAATAGCTGCTCGAGTCAATGCGTAAGTTTACATTTGAATTACTGTTATACAGTGTTGTGTGTAATTAATTTCTATGTAATCTAAAAACTGTAATTTAATTCCGTAATTTAAAGTAAAATCTGATGTAATTGCATTAAATGCTGCTAAAACTATAAAGCAATTCTGTATAAAACAATAGTGGATTTAACATCAAATTTTAAAAGATATATTTTTTCAAGAATAATTCATGCAATTGTATAATGTTTATTTGAAAGCATTAAAAGTGCAGTTTCTTGTCTCTCCTTGTATTGTTCAAGTGGTTGAGGTTGATATGGGATTTAGAAAGTAATTAGTAATAAGTAGACCAATACTTTCTAGAGATAGTCATTATTACATTAATCTAATTACACTGTTGAAGAAGCCAGTTGTAGTTAGTAATATAAGTGACTTGCCCAACCGTTATAATATCAGAAGTGAAACTGGAAGAACAGTGTGTTATTCAACCTAATTTTAATTTTCATGTAGGTGCAATCCTGCAGGCATTAAAAGAACATGGCAGCAGCTGAAAATGAAATATAAAAACATAATTCAATCAGGTAAGGCTTGAACATATCATGGTTGTAGTCTACCTGACTTTACAAACATTTGACATATAAATAACTAAATAGCATCCAGTGTCTAGCAGTGCAGCAGCATTTTTGACATGGGTCTAAATGTTCATTCTCATTTGACTACTCAGCCAACAGAAAGAAGGCAGAGGCTCGCAAAACGGGGGGAGGACCTGCACCACCACCTCTGACAAATGCAGAGGAGATGGCCCTGAGCCTGAATGCTGGAAGGCCAATGGCTGAGGGAATTCCTGGAGGGACTTCATCAGAGCCAGTCACTCCAGAAGATTTAAGTGCCTTCATAAAATGTAAGAGGTCTACCTATGTGTTGTGTTTTTATATAGGCTATTTGTGATATTTCCATTTATTTTACTTTGGGGTGGGTTTTTCGTTGGTCCCAACAGATTCTGATGGTAAAAGTAGTCTTTTGGAGCCTCCTGTCCCAACAGAACCACAGGCAGTTGTAAGTAGCCTACTCAATACACCAGAAATTATTACAAATAGTGTTATAAAGTGTACTCAAATGCTCATCTTCACAGGATGATGGGGATGAAGAAACAGTTTCTGCTGCCACAGAGATGCCTACAGAGGTAATGTTAATATTATGTGTCTATCAAACAATCTACACATTCACATTTCTTCACCTTTTTTATGTGGAGTAGCCTATAGAATCTAAGTTTAAATCTAAGTATAAACAGGTATTTTTATCTCTCCCCAGAGTGTGGAAGAACAGCAAGAGGATGGTCCATCAACTTCTGGTGCACAGATGAACACAGTTCAGTGATTTTTTTTTTCAGTAAATGCCACAGTTTAATATTGTAGAATTTTAGAACTACATGATGTAACTGTAATCTACTGTATTTTCAGTTGCCAGTTAAGGAGTTATATAGACTTCTTCTTATTAAAAAGATAGAAAAAAACAGCAAAGAACTTGTATACTTGGACCGCCAGATCCAAAAGGCAGATCTGGAAATTGAGATTCTGAAACTAAAGCTAGAGGTGAGTGCATGGTCACAGGTGAATTCTAAGTATTGAAAATATATTAAATTCTATTTTTTTTTTTATGTTTAGGAAATAAAGAACACCATATAAATTGCTGTGATTTTGTGTTTATTCATTTTTATTTTATTTTGTGGTTGGTTGGTTAGGTGGTGGATATAATGTGTATTAATCTGTGAAGACATTTCGGCATATCATATCCCGGACTACCCTTCCCTCCTGGAAATCTGCCGGGTTGATGGGGTCTTCCTCTGGGTCTTGTATTTGTAGGGCAGGGTGTTGCTCCCCTCTAATTATGGCAATATTATGGAGAACAACACATGCCACAATAATGTCGCAGGCCCTTTCAGGGGTTACCCTGAGGTGACGTAGGCACTGGAAACGTGCTTTCAACAGGCCTATGGTCATCTCCACCCGGGCTCTCGTCCTGCAGTGTGCCACATTGAAGCGGCGCTGGGGGCCTGGTTCAGGTTCTGGGTAAGGGGTAATTAGTGTTGGTCGGCATGGGTAACCCCTATCTCCCAGCAGAAAGCCATCAATCTCTCCTGTAAGAAAGTTCACATTGCTTTAGAGCTGCATAGAAGTTCCCCAGTAAGTGTGTAGTGCATACATTGAAATACATGCATTTACTTACCAGTTTCCAGTCTGTTGCTCAGCGTTGACTCACGATACATTCGTGAGTCATGAACAGAACCGGGCCACTTGGCCTCCACATTTGTAATGAGATGTGCAGCATCACATATGATCTTGACAATGCAAAGAATGAGACATGTTATAGTATTGTGATGTAGTCTTTGACCATTAGAAACAGTAGGCTTTCAGTGTACCTGCACATTAATACTGTGGATGGACCTCCTGTTGACATAGTCCGCTTCATTTTCGGAAGGTGCAATGATGGGAATATGTGTGCCATCAATGCATCCAACCACATTCGGAAATCCTAAAAGGAATTCTATTATTAGTTTACTTCCAGGGGTCGCAGCAATATGCTCTTAACTGAACGTCTTTATCAGGTTAGCCTCATTTAAACCGATTTATACATCACTGACCTGCAATCCTGTGAAACTCCTCTTTGGTGGCTCTCACGGGTTTGTGCCCAGGAAACAGCACAAAAATTCGGAGAAAGCGCTTAAGAGCGAGGCACACTTTCCTTACAACTCTGCAAACCGTAGCCTTACTGATATGTTCTGCATCCCCAATGTTATACAGAAAACTACCATTTGCAAAGAAACGTAATGCAACGCAAAGCATCTGCTCGGATGTTAGAGCACGGCCGCGATGGCTGATGTTTCTGATGTAAGGATGGATGAGATTATGGATGTATCTTATTGACTGTAAAGAAAAACGGTACCGCTCAAATAAAAATGGATATGACAAAAAATCCACTCTGGGTCTCAAAATCCTCTCCTGACGTAAATGCAACTCCCTACGGATTAATGCAGCCTCTTCATCCACAGGATCGTCCATAAAAGGACATGCCATTTCATTCACTTGATTTGATGCGCTCTGCGTGACTGAAATGTGCGCAATGAATGAATACCGAAAGAATGAATGAGGTGATTAAATACCACTTCCTCTTTAAAAAAGGGGAGGAGACAAAATAAACTCTGGGTTTCCCGAAGAAAACCTGCTCCCGACCAGGTTAGGTTCACAGAGTAAGTTGCCATGGTAACTGACTCTGAGTATAAGTTACCTCTCTTTCTGAAACAGGCTTGACTTACTCTGCTTTCTCAGGTTTAACATACCTCCCATTCTGAAATAGAAAACTCAGAGTTTCCCTCATTTCAGGGTTAACATACTCAGAGTTTTCACTTAACCTCCTTTCTGAAACAGGCCCCGGGTGTGTGAAATGGCGTGGCTGTGGCCGACAACAGGCAACAATAAACCCGAGTGATAAGAACCTGGCTCTTTATTGACACAAAAAGTTACAGTATTGTCTTCATGTCTTCATCAAGTTACAACCTCACAGAATCACAATTTGCACCTTAAACCTTCAACCACGAATAATGAAGGACATCTGTGCTCCACTTTTATGACAGTGAACTGAACAAAAAGGAGATGACCTCTATGACCGTTGCACAATCAATAGGGAAATACACGGTGGTGGTGTTGGGGTGCATCTTGTGTCACTGATTAGCCACACAGAATGTTCCTCCTTTTCAGCTTCAGCGTCTCAGAAAGAGCTTCTGCATTTGTTTATGATCTTCTTAAATATAGCATTGGTGTTTCTCAGTTCCTCTGTTAACTTCCTGTTCTCACATTGGGCTTCTAAATTATAATACATTGTTTATTTCTTTGCTCTAAAGAATGAGTTAAATAAAACGAAATAACCGACAACATTTTCAATCCGGGAAGGAGCTTTTATTGCTGTGGAATGTACATTTAGACATAAAGGGCACTTTGGTACAAGATGAGCTGCAATTCCGCTGCTGCTGCTGCCTGTCTGTCCTTCCTGCTTATTTGACTAATTCTACTAAGCATGTTTTTAGATATTTCTTTCTTTCCTCCATCTTTAAAAAGCACTTATTACATACAATGTGATGTTTTACTATTGTTGCGTCAATCTCCGGTCACAAGCCGCACAGAGAACTCAAGGCCCATATCCACCCCGGACAGTCGGAGCGCACCCAGACTGCAGGGGGCGACAATGCGGCTAATGGAGATTCCACTCACAGGAAGCGCATGGCATAAAATGTTTGTGGAGAGCTCAGTATGGCCCTCTCACTCGACCCTGAGGAAAAGGACACTGTGGCCACGGCTCCTAATTTCCCAGAGACGCAACTGGTAGGACAGTATGACTTATTGGTTGTTCATGCTTTGCTTTACTTAGTGAAATGTGTCATTTAAATTAAGTAATGGAGACTTATCCTAGGTTTATCTGAATAATTTTGGTTTGGTTTGAGAATTCAGTCGCATTTATTATTACTTTAAGAAAGTTATTATCGAAATGTACTCGACAAATTCATGGGTTTTGCTTTATGTTTGAAAGGTTATCAACCTGCTCTGTTCGTTGTCCGATCCACCAAGCCACCCTTAAGAGGAATAAAGGATCATAAAATCAAGCTCTTTTCAAGTTTGGGCAGAGCCGTGGTTAATCTGGAAAAACACACGAAACTTGACAACTATTCATGTGTCATTTGCACTTTCTGTAAAAGGAAATCCACCTCACACACAAACACTCAGCATCACATCTAAAACATGCATTTCTGCACTATATCGACCCCGTCACTGAAGCTCACCCTGTTTATTAAGAAAAGTCCCTCCATCGCTTCACGGCCCCTGACTCTCCCCCATTATTTCATGGACATTAGAGTAAACAACCTCACCTCCACCCTCCTCCTTCAGCACACACTCTTCTGTGTCCTTATCTTCCCCTATGGCCTCCTCCTCCTCCTCCACCTCTTCCCGGCCCTCCATCACTTCACTGTCCTCAGCACCATCACTTTGCCTCTCCTCCGTTCCCTTGTTGTTGATCTCGGCGTACTCTGTATCTGGGGTCTCCCGCGTATCCTCGGCCCCTCCGGCACGCTTTGTTTTCACCAAGGAAAAGTCGATGTCCGAGTACTCCACCTCTCTGGGCTGCACGTCACCTTCTGGGCCGCGGGTCCCGTCGCTTTCCGCTGCTTGATTAGGATCCATCTGTCGGTGAAAATCAGAAATGAGAAATCATTTGCATCGTAACACATGAAGCCCCTGCATCCAGGCAGCAACTGGTTTTACTTAAATCTGCAAGGTGTGAAATTCACCCTGAAACACTAAACTTATATCATCTGTAAGCCAACGAAATGATCAGGAATGTTTTTTTAAGTGAGAGTGTGAGGATGCCACAACCGAGGGAATCCTGGAATTAGGAGGCAGGCAAGCGAGACTTGGTCCAGGTAAAAAATATGTTTATTTGTAAAAAGTCAAGAAGTTTCCTTATACAGGTCTGATTAAAACAGATAAACAACCAAACGGAAGAAACTTAACATCACCTCATCTGACATCAGCCCTCAGCTACACATGTTCCACCATTCCTCCCCCCCAACCGTCAATGTCCTCCACCTTTATAGCGCCGTCAATCAATGTGCACAGGTGACACTCATTATGACAATCCACCCGATGATGTCACTGCTGACATCAGCCCCTGCACAAACACTAGGCCTCACTGCCTGCCCCCTCTAGCCTCCAGCACACCTGCAGAGCATGGCAAGCACTCAACCACACACCATCATGGGGACAAAGGTGAGTTGTCACCCACTTTGTCACACATCCCCCCCCTTACAATGTCACTCCTCAGAGTCACGAGACAAGAAGTCAGCGACGACATTCTGGGGTCCCGGTCTGTACTGGATCTGAAAACGATAAGGCTGGAGAGACAAGTACCATCTGGTAATTCGGGCATTAGTGTCTTTCATTTTATGAATCCATTGCAATGCACGATGGTCCGACTCAAGAACAAACTCTTTGCCAATGAGGTAGTACCTCAACGTGTCCAATGCCCATTTAATGGCAAGGGCTTCCTTTTCCACTGTTGAGTACCTCATTTCCCTGGGGAAGAGTTTCCGGCTGATGTACTGCACGGGCAACTGGTTTCCGTCCTTCTCTTGCAATAACACGGCACCGAGACCTACTCCAGAAGCATCTGTCTGAACAGTAAAGGGAAGAGTGTAATCTGGGCACTGCAAAACCGGTTCTTTACACACACAGTCTTTCAAGTCCTTGAAAGCCTTCTTAGTTTCCTGATTCCATTTAACCTTTATTGGGCTAGATTTGCGAGTCATGTCAGTGAGTACTGCAGATCGTGACGAAAAGTTTGGGATGAGTCTGCGATACCAACCTACTAACCCCAAGAACGATCGCAGCCTCCTCTTGGTGTTGGGCGGTTGAGAAGCCGCAATCGCCTCAACCTTTCCTACCTGAGGACGGATGGCCCCCCCTCCAATCACATAACCAAGGTACTGGACCTCCGGCTTAGCAATGTGACACTTCTTGGCATTGATGACCAAACCAGCTCCGTGGATGCGTCTGCAGACATCGGCAAGATGTTGTACATGTTCCTCCCATGTCCGGCTGAAGATAACAATATCATCAATGTAAGCTGCTGCACAGTCCTCGGCTCCTCAGCACTTCATCAACCAATCTTAGGAATGTTGCTGGTGCGCCATGTAAACCGAAGGGCATCATTCTGAATCTGAACAGGCCGCTGGGAACCCTGAATGTTGTCAAGTCCTTTGATGACTCCGATAAGGGCACTTGCCAGTACCCTTTACACAGATCAAGGGTGGTTAGGAAATTCGCATTCCCCAACCGCTCAATCAGTTCATCAACCCATGGCATTGGATAGGAATCAAAGGCAGACACAGCATTTAACTTTGAGAAGTTAACACAGAATCTCAGCTTCGAATCATCTTTCTTTGGCACCAAAACCACCGGGCTACACCACTCACTCCGTGAAGGCTCGATGATTCCTGTAGCCAGCATCTCCTCCACCTCCTGCTTTAATCCTGGGACCAGTCTGGCTGGAATGCGGCAGGTGGTGTCCCTGATTGGCCGCTGCGCTGGTGAATGCAGATGAATGTGATGCTCGATGAGATTTGTACAACCTGGCTTTAGACTAAAGAGATCTTTATGCATGAAGGCCTGTAGTTTCCTGCGTTTTCCTGGCTCCAGATGACTCAGATCTGGAAACACTAGAGTATCCATTGACGTGGGAAAATACTGCTCCTGAAGTTCTTCCTCATCCACAACTGTGCGTGCCCACATGATTAATGACTGCTCCGATTGGTCTACCCACTCTTTTAGAAGGTTCACATGGAAGACTTGATTCTTTTTCCGACGATCTGGTAAAAAGAGTTCATACGTGACAGGGCCAGTTTTTTTTGTTATCTTGTATGGCCCCTGCCACTTAGCCAGGAGACTACTGTCTGATGTTGGTAGCAATAACAGAACTTTCTGGCCCTCCTGGAAAATTCTTCTCTTAGATGCCTTATCATAACTCCTCTTCTGACGCTGCTGTGCCTCCGCCAGATGACCATTGGCAAGCTCCTGAAATTGGTTCAGTTTGTCTCTCATTTTCAGGACATACGAGAGCTCACTGCACTGCTGTTGTGGCATTGGACCCTCCCAAGCATCCTTCAAGACATCCATAGGACCCCTCACTGGATGTCCATATAGCAGCTGGAAAGGTGAAAACCCTGTAGAGGCTTGTGGAACCTCTCTGTATGCAAACAGCACGAATGGCAGCCATCGGTCCCAATCTGACCCGGAGTCATTCACAAACTTCTTCAGCATAGATTTGAGGGTCTTGTTGAAGCGCTCCACTAGGCCATCAGTTTGTGGATGATAGGGACTGGTCTTTACCCCCTGAATTCCCAGCATGCTGTACACTTCTTTTAGCAGGCTTGAGGTGAAGTTGGTGCCTTGGTCTGTGATTATCTCCTTGGGGATTCCCACTCTGGAAAACAGCTGAATGAGGCAGTTGACAATCTGGCGAGCCTTGATCTTCTTCAAGGGGAAAGCTTCAGGGTATCTTGTGGCATAATCGGAAACCACCAGTATGTACCTGTGGCCTACACTACTCCTTTCGAGTGGGCCTACCACGTCCATGGCAATGCGGGAAAAGGGTGCATCTATGATGGGCATGCTGATGAGGGGAGCTCTATCTCCATTCCTGCCTGGAGCTGTTAATTGACACTGTGGACAAGACCGGCACCATTTTATGGTGTCTGCGTACTGCTGGGGCCAATAGAACCGAGTAACCATTCTTAAATGTTTTAGCCTGTCCCAAGTGACCTGCCCATGGGATAGAGTGGCTCAGGTTAAGGATAGTGGGTCTTAAACTCTGTGGAATAACTAACTGATCACCAATCTGGCTTCGGCGATACAACTTGTCTCCCTTGACCACAAATGCTTCCTTCCCTCCACCCATCACCTGGGTTGACTCAGGCACACATTTAGCAAACAACGTGACGAGTGTGGAGTCTTCCCTCTGTAGCTTAGCAATGTCACTAGGAATCGGAAAAAAGTTTAATTCTACCAGCTTTGCCACCTGTTCAGCAACTTGTGTTCCCCTTACCCGGTCTCGTCTCCTCTCTCTCTTGCTTTTCCTTTCCTTACAGTGGCTAGTGTGCTCGCCCCCGGGGAGTTCCGCGTTTGCAAATGGCAGCTCTTCCCACTCTGCTGAACTAATTTGTTCTTGCTTGGTTTTCGACCTAGTAACAGCTAGCAAATTTTCGCTGGTGCAGCTTGCTCTAGCCTCACACGATTGCTTGGCTATCAGTTCCGCCAGAATAGGTAAATCAGAGCCTAACACAACATGATAGGGCAGGTGCTTTAAAACTCCTACTGGAAGCAAGTAGTGTTGCCCTTCAATTTGGATAGCTACCTCAGCTATGGGGTAACGTACATTGTCACCATGAATACAGAAAACATCAACTGTCCCTCTACAAAAAATGACATCCCTCGGAAGGCTGTCCTGTCTGACGAGGGTGCGATTACTTCCGGAATCTAAGAGGGCTACACAGGGCCTGTCTTCAATTAACACCGCTATTGTAAGTTCCTCCGCTTGCAATTCCGAGACACTATTTCTCTCTAACTCATTGCTATGCAACTGGGGCGCGAAACACATGTAATTGTTACTAACCCGCAACCTAGGACATTCTGCCTTAAAATGTCCCTTCTGGCCGCAAGCATGACATGGGAAGAGGGCTTTGTTTCTTGACTCACGTGCAACAGAGTTTGAGGGGAGGAAGCTATGTCCTGTGTTAGCTCTCAATTCATTACTGCCCTACTACTGCAAAGGTGGAAGGTACTCTTTTGCTGATCGGCGGGCAGCTAAAAAAACTTCTGCCAGTTCTGCTGCTTCTTTGGAGGACTTCGGGTTTCGTTCTTTAATCCAGGTACAAAGTTCTGGATTCAGGATTTTGAGAAACTGCTCCATGATGATAGTGTCTCCAATTTGTTCCTTTGTCTTTGCTTCCGGCGACATCCACTTACTGAACAAATCCTTGAGGCGGACCTGCAGCTCTTTAGGAGTTTCCCCTTCTCCTGGCACGGAACCTCACTCGATAGGTCTCGGCACTGATTTCGAATTTCTGCAACACAGCACCCTTCACTTTTGCATAGTCCATGGTGTCATCAATGTCCATAGCTACATATGCATACCGTGCTTTACCGGTTAGCAATGAAGCTAGGTGAAGAGCCCACTCATCCTGAGGCCACTGACAGGCATGAGCAATTCTTTCAAACGTGATTAAATAATGTTCTATGTCCTCACCTTCTTGGTAGGGCTGCATTTTGGGACTTTTCCAGCCCGAAACCCTCACCGAACTGGCGTGCGTTCCTCCAGCAGCCAAATGTTGCTCATCCCCCGGCCTATCCTGGATCTGAGGTGGATCCGCGGTTAATCCTCTGAAGTGGGAAGGTGTGGCTGCGGCCCCTTCTTGTAGGTACTGACGAGCCTGACGGTCCTGGGTTACTTCTTGCTGGAGCTGTACAAATTGATGCTGAATTCGCTTCCATCTCTCCTCCTGTCGTTTATGCTCATGTTCGGTCCTGCTATCGCGGTCAGCCTGCTGTTGCATCAGGGATTTCATAAGTCTTGACAGCTCAGTTATACTTTCTCGCTCATAGGGTTGCCCACCTGCTGTCCCTTGTTGGTTTCCGTCATCTTGGTCCTCCTTCTGGCCTGGATCCGCTGCTTTTGTCTTTTGTCTGGTTGACATTTTCTTCACTGCCTCCTCCTGGCCTGGATCCCACTTCTGACACCACTTGTGAGGATGCCACAACCGAGGGAATCCTGGAATTAGGAGGCAGGCAAGCGAGACTTGGTCCAGGTAAAAAATATGTTTATTTGTAAAAAGTCAGGAAGTTTCCTTATACAGGTCTGATTAAAACAGATAAGCAACCAAACGGAAGAAACTTAACATCACCTCATCTGACATCAGCCCTCAGCTACACATGTTCCACCATTCCTTCCCCCAACCGTCAATGTCCTCCACCTTTATAGCGCCGTCAATCAATGTGCACAGGTGACACTCATTATGACAATCCACCCGATGATGTCACTGCTGACATCAGCCCCTGCACAAACACTAGGCCTCACTGCCTGCCCCCTCTAGCCTCCAGCACACCTGCAGAGCATGGCACGCACTCAACCACACACCATCATGGGGACAAAGGTGAGTTGTCACCCACTTTGTCACAGAGAGAAACTGAAGAAAAACAATGGTAATGCATGTCAGGACTGACCTTTGAGCCCACATTTAACTAATATATTGTACACAGTAGTAGCCAGCTGTTAATATAAATACCAGTGGAACCGCTTGAGTGGTCACCATCTCCAGAGTCATTCCACCAGAGGTCTTCTGTTGGTTTCTGGGGAGAAAAAAGGTGAACCATTACTTTTTTAATCAAAGTCCCCTTTTCTTTTAAGGCCATAAATGTGATCTTCAATTAATCTTCAATTGTATTTTCCCACGACTGATCAACTTCACTTCATTATAAACTCTATTTAAAGTAATCGTAACTGTTAACAATTTATTCTGTCATTTACTGTGACTAACTTAACAGTATAATTTGTTTTTATAATTTATGGCTTAAAAATAGGACAGTATATATTGTCACTTCACAGAAGAATGTTTAGGGTCAAACACCAACAGTTTATTTTAGTCTTGTTATGATCTATTTCCTTTGATCACACCAGTTTTCCTCAGAAGTAAAACTGCATTCAGAATTGCTGAAAAAAACGTACCGGCAGCATTTTAGGGCCAAACAGCAGATGGTTGCTGAAAGAAGAATCCCGATGAAAAACGCAATGAGGACGTGCAGGTTTTTGAAGCTGATGAGAAATGAGGAAAGCAGATCTGGAATGCAGAGGAAGAAATTAATTACATAAATAACAATGTATTGCTGCTCCATGTTAAAGAATAGTTGGAAAGATGATGTATTTAAATGTCATGTCGTGCCTGTGAGGGTCTGCTCTGCTTCCCCGGTCACATTGTTGCTCACACACTCACCAGGGGTTTGATTACTGATCTTTGGAAAAACTGCAAATAGAAAGAAAAAAACTCAAGAACAAAGAGAACAATAAAGTAAAAGAACATGAAGAACCTTCAGACTGCAGCCTACTTACACGTCACGGTTACTTCAGCAGCTGTAGTCACATTAGTGATCCTTTGCTCCGCTGTACAGACGTACTGACCAGAACACTCTGCTGTCACATTAGAGATGAGAAGAGTCGCTGCTCCACTCACGTTGTGCAGGACATTTTTGATTGGAAGTTTAGTCCAGGTGACACGAGATGGAGGGAAACTATCTCCACTGCAGGTCAGACGGAGAACATCTCCTTCTTTAACCGCTGTGTTTCCGCTGATCACAGGTTTCTTCATATCTTCAGGAAAACATTTTATACAAACTTTTAGAATTTGTGAACAGAAGATCTTTTTTTTATAAAACTATTATGTTGGTTGATGCCAAATAAGTAAGAACAAAAACTCCATTAAGACAATTTTCAAGGAGCATGAAAATCAAACAATATCTCTTCACTTTTATATGTTTTACAGCATTTGAAATTCATGACGCCACCGACTGCAAAACCTACAACAAGATCACCGCTGATGAAAACCATCAACAATACATACATGTGGGAAAACCCTTTAGACATTACAGAGTAAAGGTGAGCATGAAGGTCAGTGATACTCACAGGTCACAATCAGAGTCTCCGTCTCCTCTGTAGTGATGTTGTTGGTGAATCTGACCTTACAGGTCACATCGGTGCCGTGGTGTTCAGCTGAAGGGTTAAAGGTCAAAGTTGAGCTGTGTCTCCGTGTGACAGAAGTCAGGTTCTCGGTCTTCACAGCAGTGATGTTTCCTGTGATGTGAGAGTCCTTCTCTCCTGCTCCTCTCCACGTCCAGGTGATCTCAGGATCCGATCCAGAGCAGAGACCAGGAGCAGTGCAGCTCAGTGTGGTCTGCTGCCCCTCTGTCAGAGGAGGAATCCCCACTGTGGGCTTCTGGGTCAGACCTGAAGGGAGAGCAGTCAGTGAGAGGACTCAGGGGAGCAGCCTGAAGCTCAACACTCACTTCAATCCAACATCTGTGGAACTTCTAGCAGGAACTGATGCAGTTTGTACTGTTTGACCAAAGAGATCAAAATGCAAAACATTGTTTCATGCTCCGTTCAGACTGTAAATACAGAATATATGATGAATAGAATGAAGATCTGCACTGTGTGTATTTATTGAAGCTCTTCGTACCTTTGACAGAGATGTTTACTTTTTGAGAGAATGTGAATCCATCTGCTTTCCCATTATTTACACCTTCAACTCTGAGCTGATAAGATCCAGAGTCTGACTCAGTGAGGTCATTGATGATGATGCGGCAGTTTTTCAGACGCACATCAGGCTCCAGCAGTGAAACTCGTTTTTTAAACCCAGCCTGAACTGTGACGTTCTTGTTGGAGTGAAATATCAAAACTGGATTAGCACATTTTAGTTTTAATGGTTCACATTTGTTCCACAGCAGATGTTTGGGTGTAAAAGAAGAAGCAGTGGTGAAAGAACACGGTATGACCACACAGAGTCCAGCCTCTGCAGCTATTTCTCCTTCTCTGACGGTGATACAGTATTTACCAGGGCAGCTTGTCACTGATCCATCTGTTAATACAAACAGAGAAAAAAAAGGGTTTGGGTTATTTTGATATGATAATAGACCATTTTAGTTAAATAAAAGACGAGAGAAAGAAACAGGGAAAGGACGTGTTTGAATCTTGATATTACTCCATAATATTTAATAAATTGTAAGAGAAGGAAATATTTTGATTATTTTTCTGTTATAAAAATGTTTCAGAATTAATAGTTCAACACACATAACTTTTGGCAAACAAGTGTGTATATATATCTATCAATATATATATATATATATATATATATATATAGATAGATATATTTGTCCCACAGTTGCAAAGTGACTCAACAGATGTTTCCATTGAGGACATTTATCAAAGCAAACTATTGCTGTGTACTTTGTTCACGCCTTAAATGTTGGCATCATAACTAGATTATAATAAAGATTCATACCTGTGGCAGCAGTGATGCGTCTCACAGAGAAGAGCAGAGTCGCACAGATGAGAACAAACATCCTGATTTGACGATGGAGACAGTCAGTCTCTTTTCCTTTAACAAGAACTAACGTTTAAACGTGGTCATTTAAGTTGTTTCACGTCTCTTGGTCTGGTTCTCCTGCTCTCTTCTCACCACGCTGATCTCTGCCGAGCGTCTCTGAACTCACTCTTCCTCTTCCTCTCTTCCTATCTTCCTCTCTTCCTCTTCCTCTTTGTCTTCTACTTCATTCCTTTTCGCGGAACAACTCATTTAAAGGAAGTTTCGCTTCCTACTGCTAACCCGTGCTAAATATATATAAATATATGTGTGTAAGAAATATATCTCATTTTGTTGCTAAAGCCAAACTATAAAGCATTGTTTCACAAAATCGTTATTCTACTGCAGTTTGTTCACTAAAGAATAACTTAGTAATGTTTTCTTTGGACTTATTGTCTCACAACGAATTATTTAGATAAACCACTGATGTACATATGATACTATCTATTCATAATAAATATCATTACATTACAGGTCATTTAGCAGACGCTTTTATCCAAAGCGACTTACATTACACTTTAAACCCATGGCTTTTCACATTTTTGCCCGGGGAGCAATTAGGGGTTAGGTGTCTTGCTCAGGGACACTTTGACACGGAACATGGGGCAGCCTGGAATCAAACCACCAACCTTGTGCTTCCCAGCACACCTTCTCTAACCCCTACGCCACGACGACCCCCATATCAGGTTGATAATGCGCAACTTTAACACTGAAAAATAAAATAAAGGAACAGTAAAAAGGAGAAGTACAATGTGTTTCTGAGAAAATGTGACACCTTAAGAAACTAACACATAATCTAGCAACTCTACTTCTACAGAGAAACGCACAATGTAACACATGCGTGTGCATGGTGGGGGCAGGGTGTGTAGCGGCCGTCTGCCACTTCCTGTGTGTGAGTGTTGGTACTTTTATTTTTGAAATGTAGTTAGCATCAGAATCACGTGGGCAGGTGTGCAGTGGTTTATGAATGAGCGTAGGCATCTAGGCAGAGTGATGGTTGTATGGACATGGGGGTGAGTCGGGAGAAGATACTTTTTGTTGACCATATTCTACAGCGCACTTTATTGCATCGTCGCACATCATGTATCGCTTCGCCCGCTTGGATGCTTTTTAACTTGACTTTCGGACAATAAAATCAATGAACTTCACAGGAGGAATCTGCGTCTGTTTGGAACGAGTCCACACACGTGACCGTACTTAGCCTCACGTGACTCTACCGGATTGTAGTCACCACAGGGTGCATGTGAGTGACTTGTATTATAATGACAATGATATATTTAGTCTTTGAAGTGCGGGAAATACATGCAGCTTAACATTTTTGTTGCAACTGCAAGAACATCAATATTTGCAACAGTGTGGTTTTTATGGTTGAATATTTTAGAGCAGCAATTCCCAAAGTGTGGGCCCACTGGTGGGCCGCAAAGCTACTGAAGGTGAGCCGCGAGAGGTCATTTACAATAAATAAATAAAATGTTTTTAATTTTCAATGTTGAAAAGATTGAAATTAATATCAAAATGATGCGGCACATTAGTTATGTGAAACATTAATTGATGAATCACAAACAACTTAAACAAACAGATTAATAAAACAATAAAGGCTGACGCATGCTTCTGCGTCTGCGTCGTTGCGTCGACGCACTCGTTTCAATTTATGGTTCTGCGTGTGTTGCAGAGCAATTCACCGCCAGAACAACAGGCGGAGTAACGTGTTTTTGTTGAAGACGACCTAGAGACTCACGTCTATTTATTTATTTGTTTGTTTATTTATCATAGAATTTATTGTCCCGTGCATCGCCACTGCTGCTTTTCATCAAGGACACATTTGTCCCATATTTTCATACACTTTGTGCACCTCTCGATCTCCCTCCGTGAATCCAACCCGCTTCTACAACCCGTCAATGACGGCTTGTATAAGCGGTCATATTTACGCATTTCTTCCGACAAAAGTTCTTAAATCTTATCCGTTCTCTCGTAAACATTCTTCGTTTTAATACTGGCGGTATCGGGCTATGAAAGCGGAAATGTGAGACTCCGTAAAGGACGTAGTTAGCGGACCAATCGCAGCCTGGTGCGCTGCGGGAGGCTTGCGTCACACACGCAAGGGACACGCAAGGGGGTCTTGCGTCTGCGTCGCTCTGAAAACGCAGAAGCATATTCAACAAAAGGCGCCGCCAAACAAAACAACAACAACAAAACAATGTCAAATGCGGCGCCTCTTGTAGTATTAAAGTAAATATACCGCATTTTCCGCACTCCAAGGTGCATTTAAAAGGCTTTAATTTTCTCAAATGACACAGTGCCTTATAATTCGGAGCACCTTTTTATATATATATATATATATATATATATATATATATATGAATCAATTGGTTAATCGGTTGATCCATACTGGTTGTACACGGCGCTCAAGGCGCTCTGCCAAACTTGCCAAAGCTCGTCTACGACGGCGAGATGCTGAGCGGGCGCTCAAGCGCGTGAGATATGGAGCTTGTTTCAGGGCGCGTCGGAGAAACAAAGTGGTCGTTCTTGCCGAGCACTTCATGAGATTAAAGAGCGAGAGATGGCGCCCTTTTCTCTACAGTAGCTGAACCATCTTAACGGGGAAAATAAGTTATTCTAAAAGAGGCCGAGGATTTAAGGCGTGGATGGCGAGGGGGGCGGCGGGAGCGGACGCACCTCGCAGCATCGATCGGACCCTGAAAGCACCGTCTCCACATCCCCACACCCCCCCCCATCCACCCGCCCCGACGTCAAACGTTTGACTGCAGTATCTTATGCGCATTATTGTGCGGAAAACACGGCACATGGAGAAAATGGTATACAAAACATACATGTCGGTTGATACATTTTTAATCGGTTAAATTCTTAAGGTCATTTAATCATCCCTAGTTTATGTTTTGATCAGAGTTGGGATTAAAGGTATAGGTGGGCCGCAAAAGATTTTCAGATTTCAAATTGGGCCGCGGCATTCTTGAGTTTGGGAACCGCTGCACTACACCAGACCTTTCGTCCGATCGATGCTGCGAGGTGCATCCGCTCCCGCCGCCCCCCCCGCCATCCACGCCTTAAATCTTCGGCTGCTTATGGCGGCAAATCACTGTCAAAATTCGAGAGCGCAAATCAGGTTGATGCGCGCGCGTAAATCAAACATCCGCGAGCAAAAGTCCGTCTCGCGCGAGATATTTGCTACCTCACGAAACGTGAACTTCCTCGCTCGCGAGGTTAGTCTCTGCTCGCGCTCGAAGGTGTTTTCTACGTGCTCGCTGATTTTCTTTTTGACAGTAAGGGGGCGGAGCCAGTCACCAAGGTCTCTACACCTGATTGGTTCCAAACCCCGTCTTCGGATTGGCTAGAGTGATGCATTCACACAACTATAGAAGCTCATTTCTGCACTAAAGAAAGGGAATAGAAAGTCAAAATTATGAGATAAAACGTTGTCAAAAAAGAAACGCCCCCCTTCGGTAATCGTAGTGGACCGTAGATGACAACCAGCTACAACCATCATTTACCATCATTACCGGCACATTAAGAGCAATGCGTCCAGCTCGCAGACCGGTCAGTCAGTCTGAATCTGAATATCTTGCCAACTTTACCGAACTTTGGAGGAGCCTGCGCATATCTTGTATATCACATTCACAACAACCTCATTATTTATTGTTTTCAAAAAGTCGATCCGTACTGAAAGTTGGCAAGATATTCACAGATTCTGACTTTTTTTTTCTCGGTATTTTACAAATACGGACCGCTCTGATAGCTGGACGCATTGCTCTTAATGTGCCGGTAATGATGGTAAATGATTGTTTGTGGCGTTTGTGACGTTTAAATTGTTTGTGCTTCATCAATTAATTTTTCACATAACTAATGTGCCGCATCATTTTGATATTAATTTCAAACTTTTCAAATTGAAAATTAAAAACATTTGATTTATTTATTGTAAATGACCTCTCGCGGCCCACCTGCAGCAGCTTCGCGGCCCACACTTTGGGAATCGCTGGTGTAGTGGATCTGAAACAACTGGTTACGTCTTAGAACACTTCCAAAGAAATGTATGTACTCAGGTTTGTCTTTTTCATTTCTTTCCTTTAATATGATATTAATATGTTGCCATATGCATTTAGATGTCATTGTACAATTAATTAAACCTGCTAAATGTGTTTGAAAGCATGACCAAATTACGCAGAGCATGTGTGTTGCAAAAGTCCGGAGAGATGTGCATGATGACTGGGTAAGATTAAACTGACTGTTTTGTAATCATTTGTATTTATCTCAAATATAGTGAATTCGAATTAAATCCCAGTGTATGATATGAGCCTGTTTTAAATAAATCCCTCTTGTTATGAGTTGAATAAAAGGAAAATTTAAGCAAAATAAATGATTGAAGATTAAATTTCGGTTGAATGCGTATTGATAACTGACAGCGAACTGGTAAGATTGTTTATTATTACAAGCAGTGACAAATGTAAGTGTAAAACATGTAAAAGAGATGAGCTCCTATTAATTTACTATTATATAATAATGTACTCAGCAGTGAAAGGCTTTAGGAAATTAGATGTACTTCAAAATGAACAGTAATGAAAAATAAAATTGTATTTTAAAGATGGATAAAAGAAGAAAGAACCACATGGGGCCACCTAATTAATACCCAAACTGTGATAAAAACCATCTTCAAATCAAATCAAATCATGTTATATTGGTCATGAATTAAAGAATATGAGAATATCAATAAAATATGCAGTGAAAATTAAATTCAAGTTGTGGGTTTGAAAAGCGCTTCTACTGATACGATCAATCAACTCGCTAATTAAGTAAAACCAGAATTGTTCTATAAACAACAATAGAGTCTCAACTATCTCTGTGTGTGTTCACCGTCCTGCTCTCCTGAGGTTATGATGCATAATGTGTGTTTCACTTAACGAACTTGGTTGCTGCTGAAATACTCAACATCAGTGTTGTTGTTGTTGTTGTTGTTAGTGTGCTGATGACGGAATACTGTGTGAGTCTCCAGCAGCGGCCATGTGATGGTGGCTAAAGTAAAACACACACACACAAACTTTAAAATGTTTGCTTCCCCGGTCATATTGTTGCTCACACACTCACCAGAGGTTTGATTACTGATCTTTGGAGAAACTGCAAACAGAAAGAAAAACTGAAGAACAAAGAACAATAAAGTAAAAGAACATGAAGAACCTTCAGACTGCAGCCTACTTACACGTCACGGTTACTTCAGCAGCTGTAGTCACATCAGTGATCCTTTGCTCCGCTGTACAGACGTACTGACCAGAGCACTCTGCTGTCACATTAGAGATGAGAAGAGTTGCTGCTCCACTCACGTCGTGCAGGACATTTTTGCTTTGCAGGTTTTCGTTGAAATAAAGTTTAGTCCAGGTGACACGAGATGGAGGGAAACTATCTCCACTGCAGGTCAGACGGAGAACATCTCCTTCTTTAACCGCTGTGTTTCCGCTGATCACAGGTTCCTTCATATCTTCAGGAAAACATTTTATACAAACTTTTAGAATTTGTGAACAGAACATCTTTTTTTATAAAACTATTATGTTGGTTGAAGCCAAATAAGTAAGAACGAAAACTCCATTAAGACCAAAAATATTCAACAAGGAGCAGGAAAATCAAACAATATCTCTTCACTTTTATATGTTTTACAGCATTTGAAATTCATGACGCCACCGACTGCAAAACATACAACAAGATCACCGCTGGTGAAAACCATCAACAATACATACTACATGTGGGAAAACCCTTCAGACATTACAGAGTAAAGGTGAGCATGAAGGTCAGTGATACTCACAGGTCACATTCAGAGTCTCCGTCTCCTCTGTAGTGATGTCGTTGGTGAATCTGACCTTACAGGTCACATCGGTGCCGTGGTGTTCAGCTGAAGGGTTAAAGGTCAAAGTTGAGCTGTGTCTCCGTGTGACAGAAGTCAGGTGCTCGGTCTTCACAGCAGTGATGTTTCCTGTGATGTGAGAGTCCTTCTCTCCTGCTCCTCTCCACGTCCAGGTGATCTCAGGATCCCATCCAGAGCAGAGACCAGGAGCAGTGCAGCTCAGTGTGGTCTGCTGCCCCTCTGTCAGAGGAGGAATCCCCACTGTGGGCTTCTGGGTCAGACCTGAAGGGAGAGCAGTCAGTGAGAGGACTCAGGGGAGCAGCCTGAAGCTCAACACTCACTTCAATCCAACATCTGTGGAACTTCTAGCAGGAACTGATGCAGTTTGTACTGTTTGACCAAAGAGGTCAAAATGCAAAACATTGTTTCATTCTCCGTTCAGACTGTAAATACAGAATATATGATGAATATTAGATTAAATAAATATATTGACGCTCTTCGTACCTTTGACAGAGATGTTTACTTTTGAAGAGGAATGACGTGTTTTCTTGTTTCCGTCCAGTAATCTGAGCCAATAAGATCCAGAGTCTGACTCAGTGAGGTCATTGATGATGATGCTGCAGTTCTTCAGACTCAGGTCAGGCTGCAGCAGTGAAACTCGTCCAACAAACCGGGGCTGAGTTTTGTTGTTGTTCGTGTTGGAGTGAAATATCACGTCTGACTTAGCACAATTTTGTTTTGATGCTTCACATTTGTAAAACACCAGCTGTTTGGGTGTAAAATTGGAAGTTTTGAAAGAACACGGTATGACCACACAGAGTCCAGCCTCTGCTTTTATTCCTCCTTCACTGAACGTGACACAGGATCCATCTTTACAGGGTTCCTCCTCCCACACTGGTGACCCTGTTGATGAAAACAGTGAAAGAAACGGTTTAAATCTTGAAAATACTGCATAATATTTAATAAATGGTGAGAGAAGGAAATACTTGGACTGTTTGTTTAATAAAACCTGTTTTCAGAATTAATATTTCTTCACACATTGTAACTTTTTGTTAGATCATTTTATACATTATATTAAATTTTATCAAAGCAAACTATTGCTGTGTACTTTGTTCACGTCTTAAATGTTGGCATCATAACTAGATTATAATAAAGATTCATACCTGTGGCAGCAGTGATGCGTCTCACAGAGAAGAGCAGAGTCGCACAGATGAGAACAAACATCCTGATTTGACGATGGAGACAGTCAGTCTCTTTTCCTTTAACAAGAACAAACGTTTAAACGTGGTCATTTAAGTCCGGTGCCGCTTGTTTCACGTCTCTTGGTCTGGTTCTCCTGCTCTCTTCTCACCACGCTGATCTCTGCCGAGCGTCTCTGATCTCACTCTTCCTCTTCGTCTTCGTTCCTCTTTGGGGAACAACTCATTTAAAGGAAGTTTCTCTTCACACTACTAACCCGTGCTACATATATATAAATATGTGTGTATAAGAAATACATGCATATATTTGGGGGGCATTGTTTCACAAAATCTTTATTCTACTGCAGTTTGTTCACTAAAGAACCATTTAATGCTGTTTTCTTTGGACTTATTGTCTCACAACATGAATTAATTAGATAAACCACTGATGTACATATGATACCATCTATTCATAATGAATAACATGTTGATAATGTGCAACTTTAACACTAAAAATAAAATAAAGGAACAGTAAAAAGGAGAAGTACAATGTGTTTCTGAGAAAATGTGACACCTTAACAAATACGTAATCTAGCACCTCTACTTCTACAGAGAAACACACAATGTAACACATGCATGTGCATAGTGGGGGCAGGGTGCATGTGAGTAATTTGTATTATGACAATATGTTTAGTCGTTAAAGTGCGTGAAATATATGCAGCTTAACATTTTTGTTGCAGCTGCAGACACATATATTTGAGAAAGTGTTTTTTCATAGATGAAGAGTTTATTGGGAAACTTCTAAAAGTTGTGTTCTCAGAAAGGTCTCTGACACTTAGCGATCATAACTATATTTAGCTCTTATATATTTAGTCTTTTTAGCTTCTGTACTCTTCATATTGAACAACCACAACGAACCTGCCCACATTGCTGAATGTACCAGAGAGGAAGAAACTTTGTTTTGTATTTAAAAACTAATGAGAACAATCCAAACAAAAAACAAAGAATGTGTTTAAGAAGACAAGTTGATTCTCTGAACACGATTAAATGCTAGGCTCTTTAACTAAATGCTAACTTACTTACAATATAATTCTAGCATGTTGATGTTTAGCATGTAAAACCTTTGCAATATTCCCCATGTTATTGTCAGCGGCCGAGGTTAAATAAATATTGCCACTATGCCACCATGTGAACGAGCCAAGAGCCCGGAGTCAAATCACTAAACCAAGGTATGTTTCTGTTAGTAAAAAGAAGTAATTCTACCTGCTAACTTTATTCATTTTAGTTTCACTCGACTGGTTACCCGTGCATTTTAGAATTTTTAAAAATTTCTTATTTACTTTTAAATCTCTGAAATGGTCTTGCCCAATCGTATCTTTCTGAACTTCTGCACCCCTAAACACCCTGATCTCTCAGGTCAGCTGACCAGCTGCTCCTGAAGGTTTCAAAAACGAGGCTGAAGCTCAGAGGGGACTGAGCATTTTCTGTTGCAGCTCCAAAATTATGGAACGAACTGCCGCTGCAGCACTTTGGGAACCTTTTGTGTTCATTTTAACTGTGCTTTAACTGATTGGATTGAACTGTACAGAAAAATAATATTTCTAAGGATGTGTTAGGTTTCTTTCAAAGAATTGGATCCACTAGTGAGCAAACTTTTTGGCTCTGGGGCCATATTGACTGTTACGCCTCCACCCCAGCTCGGGAGAGGAGGAAGGCGTAACTACCCAAGACCACGCCCACTGGATGATTATGAACCTGTATGCGAAGGCACCAGCTTGCTACCACAATAAGTAAAGTACACTGCTACAATGGATGGCTATGGTGGGTTTATTTCCCCTACAATAACAATACAAACAGTTCAACAAACAATTACACACAAGTACAAAGACACGGGATAGGAGGACTAACAGGTAACAAGGCCTGTGGAGTAGGGCGGTGCCAGCGGTCTGTCAAAGCAAAGAAACAAAACAAAGGACCCTGAGCTTCCCTAATCCTCTAAACCTACCTACCACAATCTAATCTAATTTTAAAATTTGACAGACGGGCCGGCCGGTTGGTTTTCATCACGCTGAACGTGTGCTCAACCACCTAAGTAGAGCCAAACAACACCAGCATCCTCTGTTTGCAAACTTGGCCTCGCTTAGTGACGCATAGAATTCAGCCAGGTTAAGAGGGTTGAACTTCTCCTTTGAGACGGCGTCACATTGCAGATCAATGAGTTCCAGTTCCAAGTCAACTTGGCTTTGAAGACTCTCTCATTTGTGTACATGTTCATGCACAAACTGATCTTTCCCTTGTAGCTTCATGTTCAGCTCATTCATGTGGTGTCAGTATGTCTACAGCAAAAGCAAAATCACAAAGTGAACCACACACATACAGGTGAGGACCTGTTAAAATGTCAAGTGAAGTTTGCTTCGCCAGTCATATTGTTGCTTACACGCTCACCAGGGGGTGAAAACTGCCGGGCGGTGCGTGTGTGCGTGCGTGCGTGCGTGTGTGTTGTTTTTTTATTTCCCTTTATCTTCCGTCTCCGGTCTTCCTGTTAAAAAGGAAAAGTCCCGCCCCTGGCATTCTCCCATTGGTCCATAAGCCGCTGATTGGGTGCGCAGCTTGTCACTGGGGACGATTGGTAATTGGTAAAAAAAAAATACAACAAAACAACTCAGAACACACAATGAATCGTAAATCCTGAAAAAAAAATCAAGCAATCACAAATCAATAAGTCATAAGAAAACTAACATTTGTTTCGGCATTTCAGTCCAAGTTGCAGCAGCGTGTGGCCCATGTGATGCGAGATGGAGGAAAGCTCTCCACGCCACAGGTGAGATTCAGAGCGGCTCCCTTCACCACCGTGGTGCTGCCGGTAATTACAGGCGACCTCACATCTGTGAAGAAAATGATGAATCTCGAATCCTAATTATCAAGTCAAGATACAAGATGTGTTTGTGCTTGCAGCCCTGCATCGTCTGCATTGTGACCTTTGTTCTAAATACTACCACCTGAGGGCGCCAACGTCTAAAGGTTTTCACACCTTACAATCCTCTAAACATTTGAATCCATTGGTCCATCAAGAACTAAAGCAAATAGTACGGTGCGTTTTAGCTGCGGTCAAACATTTAAGGTAAAAGGCCCATTGAGCTCGTCCCACATTATCTGGTGGCTATTTTAGGCTCACATCCTGTTACACACTCATTTTCTGTCTTTTCGAAAAAAGAATATTTGCAAACTCAGATTTTCAGTATGTAAGTTAGTTTAAAATCGAAAAATAATGAATTAAATAATCTTGAAATCCAATCCTTAAAAAATTTCTAAAGGCAGATTTCCAGTTGATGTAAATCTATTAGTCCTGTTTTGCTGAGTACCTCTAAACTGTTAATGGCTTTAAAAAGTCAACCAAGTATGTACTGAATATAAATAAATACATTCCCCTTTTTGTAACCTTTTCATTGTTTTCTTGTGAGTATATTTGAAGTGGTTACATACTTCACAGAGGACTCAAAATGATGTGGATAAAATGTGTTTGGTACATGAGTTTTGCAGGAAAAGACATTTAAATAGAAGGAGGAACGGTTTGACCTGGTTCTCTGTATTCTGGTCTCTTCTCTCCACAGTGATGTCAGCCGTGTGACTCCGCTCTAAACAAACTCTCCCCATCGGTTATCTTTTACCTATTTCCTCTTTTTGCAAACAACATTAATGCAAAGTATTGTCTTCATGCAGTTATAAACCTCACAGAATCACAATTTGCACCTAAACCTTCAACCATGAATAATGACCGACATCTGTGCTCCACTTTCATGACTGAACTGAACAAAAAGGAGATGACCTCTATGACCGTTGCACAATCAATAGGGAAATACACTGTGGCGGTGTTGGGGTGCATCTTGTGTCACTGATTAATTAGCCACACAGAATGTTCCTCCTTTTCAGCTTCAGCGTCTCAGAAAGAGCTTCTGCATTTGTATATGATGTGCTCAAATATAGCATTAGTGTTTCTCAGTCCCTCTGTTAACTTCCTGTTCTCACATTGAGCTGCTCATTTATTTTACATTTAATACATTGTTTATTTCTTCTCTCTGAAGAATGAGTGAAATAAAATGAAATAACCGACAACATTTTCATTGCTGGAAGGAGCTTTTATTTCTGTGCAATGTACATTTAGGCATCTAAGTTTGAATATTTCATATCAATAGAGGGCATTCAAACAAGCTTTTATGGTGTAAATGAGAGATGTATTTGGGCTCCGGTGCCTTACCCTGCTCACTCAGTCACTTCACTTCATAACAAAGGGCACTTTGGAACAAGATGAGCTGCATTTCCCCTGCTGCTGCTGCCTGTCTGTCCTTCCTGCTTATTTGACTAAAAAACACTTATTACATACAATGTGATGTTTTACTGTTTATGTGTCATTTGCACTTTCTGTAAAAGGAAATCCACCTCACACACAAACACTCAGCATCACATCTAAAACATGCATTTCTGCACTATATCGACCCCGTTGCTGAAGCTCACCCTGTTTATTAAGAAAAGAAGTCCCTGAGCTTCACGGCCCCTGACTCTCCCCCATTATTTTATGGACATTAGAGTAAACTGCAACATCCTCACCTCCACCCTCCTCCTTCAGCACACACACTTCTGTCTCCTTATCTTCCCCTATGGCCTCCTCCTCCTCCTCCTCTTCCCGGGCCTCCATCACTTCACTGTCCTCAGCACCATCACTTTGCCTCTCCTCCGTTCCCTTGTTGTTGATCTCGGCGTACTCTGTATCTGGGGTCTCCCGCGTATCCTCGGCCCCTCCGGCACGCTTTGTTTTCACCAAGGAAAAGTCGATGTCCGAGTACTCCACCTCTCTGGGCTGCACGTCACCTTCTGGGCCGCGGGTCCCGTCGCTTTCCGCTGCTTGATGAGGATCCATCTGTCGGTGAAAATCAGAAATGAGAAATCATTTGCATCGTAACACATGAAGCCCCTGCATCCAGGCAGCAACTGGTTTTACTTAAATCTGCAAGGTGTGAAATTCACCCTGAAACACTAAACTTATATCATCTGTAAGCCAACAAAATGATCAGGAATGTTTTTTAAGTGAGAGAAACGGAAGAAAAACAATGGTAATGCATGTCAGGACTGACCTTTGAGCCCACATTTAACTAATATATTGTACACAGTAGTAGCCGGCTGTTAATATAAATACCAGTGGAACCGCTTGAGTGGTCACCATCTCCAGAGTCATTCCACCAGAGGTCTTCTGTTGGTTTCTGGGGAGAAAAAAGGTGAACAAACAACAAAGTCCTTTTTTTCTTGTGATCACACTAGTTTTCCTCAGAAGTAAAACGGCATTTAGAATTGCTGAATTCACCTTTATAAAAAAAAAGGACAGCAATTAATTTAAAAAAGAAGAACAGTTATGCAAGTAATGAAAAAAACTTACCTGCAGCATTTTAGGGCCAAACAGCAGATGGTTGCTGAAAGGAGAATCCCGATAAAAAACGCAACGAGGACGTGCAGGTTTTTGAAGCTGATGAGAAATGAGTAAAGGAGATCTGGAATGCAGAAGAACAAATTAATTAAATGAATAACAATGTATGGCTGCTTCTTCATGTTAAAGAATAGTTGGAAAGATGATGTATTTAAATGTCATGTCGTGCCTGTGAGGGTCTGCTCTGCTTCCCCGGTCATATTGTTGCTCACACAATCACCAGAGGTTTGGCTACTGATCTTTGGAAAAACTGCAAACAGAAAGAAAAAACTCAAGAACAAAGCGAACAATAAAGTAAAAGAACATGAAGATCCTTCAGACTGCAGCCTACTTACACGTCACGGTTACTTCAGCAGCTGTAGTCACATTAGTGATCCTTTGCTCCGCTGTACAGACGTACTGACCAGAACACTCTGCTGTCACATTAGAGATGAGAAGAGTTGCTGCTCCACTCACGTCGTGCAGGACATTTTTGATATTACGTTTTTTGGAAAATTTTGAAGCATTTATGATGCCGCCAACTTCCCAACATTCAAAGTACACCGTTGATGTTGTAAAACCAAACCACATTTAAATGAACCATCAACAAATCATACTACATGTGGGAAAACCCTTTAGACATTACAGAGTAAAGGTGAGCATGAAGGTCAGTGATACTCACAGGTCACAATGAGAGTCTCCGTCTCCTCTGTAGTGACGTCGTTGGTGAATCTGACCTTACAGGTCACATTAGTGCTGCGGTGTTCAGCTGAAGAGTTAAAGGTCAAAGTTGAAATGTGTCTCCGTGTGACAGAAGTCAGGTTCTCGGTCTTCACAGCAGTGATGTTTCCTGTGATGTGAGAGTCCTTCTCTCCTGCTCCTCTCCACGTCCAGGTGATCTCAGGATCCGATCCAGAGCAGAGACCAGGAGCAGTGCAGCTCAGTGTGGTCTGCTGCCCCTCTGTCAGAGGAGGAATCCCCACTGTGGGCTTCTGGGTCAGACCTGAAGGGAGAGCAGTCAGTGAGAGGACTCAGGGGAGCAGCCTGAAGCTCAACACTCACTTCAATCCAACATCTGTGGAAGGGATTTAAGTAGAAGTGCACACCTAGTGGAAAGAAATTATAATACATGTAATAATGTTTAGTGTAGAATTGTAGTTTGTGTGATGTTACATATTAGTTATTACATTAGAATTTTAGATTAGTAAATACAGAATATAAGATAAATAGAATGAAGATCTGCACTATGTGTATTTGTTGAAGCTCTTTGTACCTTTGACAGAGATGTTTACTTTTTGAGGGAATGTCAATCCATTTTCTCTCCCATTTTTTAAACCATTAACTCTGAGCTGATAAGATCCAGAGTCTGACTCAGTGAGGTCATTGATGATGATGCCGCAGTTCCGGAGACGCACATCAGGCTCCAGCAGTGAAACACGTCCAACAAACCCGGCCTGAACCTTGTTGCTGTTCTCATTAGAGTCGAATATCACGTCTGAATCAGCACAAAATCGTTTTGATGCTTCACATTTGTAAAACACCAGATGTTTGGGTGTAAAAGTAGAATTGGTTTTGAAAGAACACGGTATGACCACACAGAGTCCAGCCTCTGCTGGTATTTCCCCTTCACTGAAAGTGACACAGTCTCCATCTTTACAGGTTTCCTTCCCCCTCACTGATGAACCTGTCAATGGAAATAGTGAGAAAGAAACAGGGAAAGGAAGTTTTCAAATTTTAAAAATACTCCATGATATTTAATAAGTGGTAGGAGAAGGCAGACGATTTTTGTTTTATAAAACTTCTGTTTTCAGAATTAATATTTCTTCGCACATAATAACTTTTGTTAAACATGTTCTAGAAAATATGTAACTATATAAATTAATAAATATAAATATTTGCCCCACAGTTGTAAAGTGACTCAACAGATGCTTCCAACGGGGACATTTATCAAAGCAAACTATTGCTGTCTACTTTGTTTACATCTTAAATGTTGGTGTTATACTAGATTATAATGAGAGATTCATACCTGTGGCAGCAGTGATGTGTCTCACAGAGAAGAGCAGAATGAGAACAAACATCCTGATTTAACGGCGGAGAACAAACGTCTCAATGTTCACTGAATGACTCAATGAAACCGGAGCAGAAACATTTAAATACGTGATGTTGCAGCTTCAAGCTTTCGTAGTCCCTCCCCCTCCGCGGCCCCCGTGAATACAGAAAAAGCATCAGCACGTAAATGATGCGTTGTGCGGTCGGTATTTGTGATATATAAAGTAAGGTACCGCTTGCTGTCGAGTTCTTCCGCTCTGTTCTTCCTCTTTCTCTCTTCTTCTTCGTCCTCTCTGCTCTGCAATTATTTACAGGCTGGTTTGTCTTCACACTGCAGGCCCTCGTTAGCCAAACCACTCAAATGTGATCATGTGTTAATACAATTATATTTATAATCAATATCATGGTGATAATGTGCAACTTTGATACATAAAGGAACTGTGAGAAAGGAAAAGTACCATGTGTGTAACAAATATTTAATCTAGTAACTCTACTTCCACATATCAACACACAATGTAACACATGCATGTGCATAGAGGGACAAGGTGCATGTGAATGATTTGTGTTATGATGATAATAATATATTTAGTCTTTAAAGTGCATCTTGACAGTTTTGTTGCAACAGCAAGAACATCTATATTAGGAACAGTGTGGTTTTTATGGTTAAGAGTTTAGTGTGCGACTTCTGTAAGTTGTGTTCTCAGAAAGGTCTTTGAAGTGATCACTCATTTAAACATTGACACTTTGAGATGGTAGATTATGACTATTTCTATATTTAGCTGTTAAATGGCTACTTGTTTGTCCTCATCAGCCTGCATACTCCTCATATCGAACTCTCACAAGAGAACCTGTCAATGTTACTGACGATTCCCTTCCAAACATAAACAAGTGTGTTGTGTTCATAATAAGCTCAGTTGATTCTTTGACAGTGTTGGACAAGTTACTGAAAATGAGTAATTAGTTGCAGTTACTAGTTACTTCTTTTAAAAGGCGCCTTCAGCATCCTTACGGCTGCGGTCTTTCGCTACTAGCTTTGTCGAAGCGTGTTGTTTCAACAGGTGCTTCATAAGATTTGAATTGTTACTTTACAGCCTATTTGCACCTGCACAAAGTTTACAACTCGCCACTACATTTTTGACTCTAATTTCAGCGAGCAAAAAGTAATGTCCATAATTCCAGGACAGAATCTATCTGCACTGTCAGCCATGATGTGGTTCAATGTTCAATACTTTGAGTGTGCAGTATCACTGCGCACTCAAAGTAACAGGTTAGAGTTTGCGCGATCTGACATTTTAGCTTTTAGCTCGGTGGCGATCGCTGAAAAAACCCCGTGGAAATCCCACAAATGATCCGTTTCGGGCAATGCAAGCTTTCGCAACCGGACAATTAAGGTGGACGTCATCAGCGATGTGAATGAATGAGATGGTGCGAGATCTTGCAAGGCGAGCCGATGCTGTTTACGTGCACGTAGGGAACTACTTTTCTCTAGACTACTGCAATGAGATACACAACGCTTGGTGGCTACAACTATTTCCTGCGCGTTACAAAAGAGAGTAACGCGAGTAACGAACTCATTCAAATTTCAGTAATTGTAACTGCGTTACTTGATTAATAAAAATACTACATGCTCGTTACCGCTAAAAGTGGTGGAATTACAGGGTTGAACACAGGGATCACATTCAAAAGCGAATTAAACTGTGAGTTTCTAAACACGAATATTATCAGGGTTAATTGCAGAGACAAATTGTGTACAAACATCAATTTGAAAAAACAGATCATTCAAAAAGCTGAATAACTTTTTTTTGTTTTGCAAATACATTAATGAATGAAATACAATTAAAACAGTAATCCAATATGTGTTGAAAAGTTCAAATTGTGGGATTAAAAAGCACTTCCACTGATACGATCCATCAACTCGCTAACTAATTGAAAACAGAACTGACAAAGTTTTAACAAAGATTATTTATAGCCATGCGTTATGGGACTACTTTAATATTACCTGTTTCATAGGTGCTTTATGTTTCACGTTATAATTAGGGCTGTCAATAGAAATAAATTAACTAAATAATTGCACGTTTTTAAAATTCATTCATCTCGATCAATGGCGATTAATAAATGTTGTAACAATGTTGTTATTACCGAACGTTTGTTTTTCTTCTAAAGACTAAATCTTACAAGTAATGACTAATCACTTTAGAAATAATATATTTTAAACACTATTAGACACATTGTCATTTTATTTTACACACAAAACTACACACGTTTGATTAATCTTGCAGGCAGAATTCTACCGGGTGGAAAATGTAGAACTAGTACCTCTTCCTGCTGTCCTCGTGCACTTCGCTCTCAACTCATTTTATGACTGCGTGTCAACAATCTCCCCACATTTAACCAGGACGTTTTAAAACCACGACCTCTTAGGGACTCAGTGGTGGTCTTCTGCAGACCGTGTGCCGCGCAGGGTAACACAGAGCTGCCAACTTTTCAAAAAACCTTGGAGGGAGATTTTGTCGGGGGTGACCAAAATGTTGCCGCGCTGCAGCCACACACTGTGGTGACATGTGTGGCTGCCACCAATGGAGGCTCAAATATCAGGGATTGGAATTAATTTGGCGTTGTACCCGTGTTGTGGCCTGCAATATGGTGGTTTGTAAGTCGTCGATAGGGGCGGCCTATAGGAGATCGACAACATCGGTTACCTTCTGTGAAGCAAAGACCCAGCTGAAGGTCCACCCCAGGACCTTTGGGTTTAAGTAGGAGTTATTTACTGCATTCTAATGGATTTTTGGGTGGTATGCTAAAGATGTGCAATACCTGAACTCATTCTGATTCATGTTGATCTGATCATGACTTGTAGGGCCTTCTAGACTTGAGCTGAACCGTCAACCAGAAAACTATTGTTGTGCCTCAATGACTGTCTATGTACCTAATTAATAGACCTGTGTTTGAGATTTGACCAAGGTTGATTGACATTCTGATTACAATGGTATACAACAAATTCTTAACCAAACCTAACCTATATTGTTATTAATTGTATTCTTAAGAGCACTTAATGATTTATGTTCAGCAAAAAATGACACAAGATTAGTTAGGGAGAAAAATATGTCATTATTCAAAGCCTCCCACCACACGTTCGTTCCATCAAACAAAAAAGTGCAACAAGTAGAATGCTTAAAGTGCTTCAAAAGTAGCCTTTTTAAGCAATACAATTTATCAACCCATGACAAGAATAACTAAAAATGAGGTATCAGATGCAGATCAGAAGCTGGTTGGTCATTTTGATCTGTGGCAAAGTTGATTGATCACTGTATCATAGATATTAAATACTATGACGTTAATCACTAATGATGTCACCAATCTTACGGTATATAGCCTCATTGATCACTATATTACATAAATAAAATACTGAGGTTAATCACTATTGATGTAGAGACACAGATGAGGTTCAGGTACATTTAAAATGGTAGGTGTGTGTGTGGAATGTAGCCCTATCCAGTAAAATATTATCTAATTAATTATTGTTGTTATATGAAACCTCCTCTTTACTTTATGAAACCTTTATGAAGCTACGGCTGAGTGATGTAATACAACAGCCCTTTACCTCATTAACATTTGTATGTTTTTCTTCCACCCAATATGAACACAAATGAAATATACACCTGTCAGTGTAATCCAGTAAATTCAGCAGCACCACAAACTACAACTGCTCCTCTTCATCTTTAGAAAGATGTTGGATTACTATATAACAACACTGATCTGTACCATTGAGATATTTTGCCTAATTATTTGTATGTCTGATATATGTATATATATATAATGGAACACCAGAGTAAATTTATGCTGGTGGTATATTCATTGTATATACATTTCTTTATTTTAAATGAAAACGAAACAAGCTTGATAGTAAAATACTGTATTAAAATGTATTAGCAAGACCAGCTGATCCGGTGACGTCATCAAGTCAGCTGCTGTTCCAATTGCGGAAGTGACCGTTCTGTCAGGAGTCCCGAGTCCGTCTCCCGTCGGATAGTTTGAAAAGAAACGAACGCGTCTCGGACCAAAATGAGATTTCTTTTTTTCGTGAGACATTGAATGTGTGGAGTGAGTAAGTGTGAAAAAATGCAAAAGTGTGTGCGTCGCACGGCGAAACCGTGAGAGTTGGCAGCTCTGGTTTACGATAGATGTTCAGATGGAAGTAGCCTAGCAGCTAGCTTAGCCTAGAAGCAAGCTTAGCATAGCATTGCTTCATGTGTTCTGTTTGACACGTGGAGGAATTCCTCTGCAGTTCTCCGCTCTATGTCGCGCCTTTGTTTGTTTGCCTTCCAATGCAAAAAGCTCTCTCCATCTTGAGCTATCAAACTGACTGCAGCTAGCGGCCGATTCGTTTCCACGTCAACTTCCGGTTTACTTCCGGTCCAGTAAGTTACTTTAACTAGGTTAACTAACTAAAATATTTCGTTGCATTAATCTCGGCCACATTAATCGCATAAATGAATGTTTAGGCTAACAGCCCTAATTACAATGCATAGGTACCAAATGTGACATTTAATCTAATACTGATAATATTTAACTTATTTGGGCAAATATTAATAATTGTGAGTAGCAGAATATTAGTCATATTAGGCAAAATAAATCTTTATTATGTCATGAACATCGGTGCAATTAAATGTTCATTGGTTCATCAAATGTGAACTAATAAAATTGTAACACTGTCCAAAGCGGGATATAGATTACAGTTAAATTAAAAGAAGTCTAGGAACCATATTCATGAACCTTCATGCATGTTGAAGAAGGAACAGAAGAACCATCTTGTTGATCCCTCAGTGGAAGCTGACGCTTCTTAGTTCAGAGGTCGAGCGATGACATCATACTCTGGGGATTGGTGGGTTTTCTGCAGTGACATGTAAGTTCTGTCCTCTTGTTTTGGCGTCACTTTTTTCCTTGTGTTCCTTTGGAGAGAAGAAAGAGTGAGACATGACGTGTTGTCTCAAGGTCTCCGCTGCATCAAAGTAGTAATCAAAGCACAACACGATGAAGTAGAGACGTACCAGAGAAACATCAAGAGGATCATGCAGATGATATTCACAACGAGAGAAACAACAGCAATCACCATCCATGGAAGCTCTGCACACGGTCCATGTTGATCTAATATTACAAATGACATAATGTAGTTTAGTGTTATTAAAGTTGCACACATTCAACCGGTTGCGGTTTCATTACTTGTTAATGACAGACAACAAAAATGCTAATTAAATAAAAAAGTCAGCGTGGTTACATGGATTCGAATAACTGGCTTAGTCGGACTGAAATTGAATGATCCGTTTCATGTAAACACCTTTGTCCGACTATGTGCGGTCCGACTACGATCCGACTAACACCCCTGGAACTCGATCCGATCCAGTTGATAGTTCGACTATTGCGGCATGTAACGGTGAATCGGATAAGGAACTGGACTTTGCGTCTTTGCGCATGCTTGAGATCGCGACGGCGTCTTCTCTCCGTTATCAAATCAGCCAATAGCGCCATTCGCATTCGCTGTGCTCCTATTAACATCATGCAAACATAGTAGAGGGATGTAGCTTCACCTCGCTCTCCGTTCGCCATCTTTCTCGTAATGTTGATGTTGTTGTTGTTGGTAGTGGTGAAGCGGTCAAGCGGAAATGGCTGTATCACAACTAGTTGTAATGAAAACAGCGCCACCTATCGTATCGGATATGACGTGCTTTCGGCCAATGATTCGGTTTATTCACTGCCATGTATATTGGGATAATAGCACTTGCCCCAAAAGGTAGCATAGTCCGACTAAGCAAAGATTTGATTTATACAATCATTTAAACACACTGAGTCAATCACAGCAGATGGTGGTATTTCTATTAAAGGTGAAGGCCATAATTACACATATTCTATTGGAATGGACTATTTCATCATAGTTCACATTTTCAAAACATCAGCACAACAAATTGTTCTTCAAATCCAAGAGTCTCAACTATCTCTGTGTGTGTTCATCGTCCTGCTCTCCTGAGGTTATGATGCTTAATGTGTGTTTCACTTAACTAACTTGGTTGCTGCTGAAATACTCAACATCAGTGTTGTTGTTGTTAGTGTGATGATGACGGAATACTGTGTGAGTCTCCAGCAGCGGCCATGTGATGGTGGCTGAAGTAAAACTCAAGCCACACAAAAACACACACATACAGGTGAGGACCTGTTAAAATGTCATGAAGTTTGCTTCGCCGGTCATATTGTTGCTCACACACTCACCAGAGGTTTGGTTACTGAACTTTAGAAAAACTGCAAACAGAAAGAAAAAACTCAAGAACAAATCGAACAATAAAGTAAAAGAACATGAAGAACCTTCAGACTGCAGCCTACTTACACGTCACGGTTACTTCAGCAGCTGTAGTCACATTAGTGATCCTTTGCTCCGCTGTACAGACGTACTGACCAGAACACTCTGCTGTCACATTAGAGATGAGAAGAGTTGCTGCTCCACTCACGTCGTGCAGGACATTTTTGATTTGCAGGTTTTCGTTGAAATAAAGTTTAGTCCAGGTGACACGAGATGGAGGGAAACTATCTCCACTGCAGGTCAGACGGAGAACATCTCCTTCTTTAACCGCTGTGTTTCCGCTGATCACAGGTTTCTTCATATCTTCAGGAAAACATTTTATACAAACTTTTAGAATTTGTGAACAGAACATCTTTTTTTTATAAAACTATTATGTTGGTTGAAGCCAAATAAGTAAGAACGAAAACTCCATTAAGACCAAGGACACTAAACAGGGAGCATGGAAATCTTTCAGTTTATATATTTTACAGCCTTTGAAATGTATGACGCCACCGACTCGCCAACAAGAACACCGCTGAGAACATTTAGAAAACCATCAACAATACATACTACATGTGGGAAAACCCTTTAGACATTACAGAGTAAAGGTGAGCATGAAGGTCAGTGATACTCACAGGTCACAATCAGAGTCTCCGTCTCCTCTGTAGTGACGTCGTTGGTGAATCTGACCTTACAGGTCACATTGGTGCCGTGGTGTTCAGCTGAAGGGTTAAAGGTCAAAGTTAAGCTGCGTCTTCGTGTGACAGACGTCTCCACAGCAGTGATGGTTGCTGTGATGTGAGAGTCCTTCTCTCCTGCTCCTCTCCACGTCCAGGTGATCTCAGGATCCGATCCAGAGCAGAGACCAGGAGCAGTGCAGCTCAGTGTGGTCTGCTGCCCCTCTGTCAGAGGAGGAATCCCCACTGTGGGCTTCTGGGTCAGACCTGAAGGGAGAGCAGTCAGTGAGAGGACTCAGGGGAGCAGCCTGAAGCTCAACACTCACTTCAATCCAACATCTGTGGAAGGGATTTAAGTAGAAGTGCACACCTAGTGGAAAGAAATTATAATACATGTAATAATGTTTAGTGTAGAATTGTAGTCTGTGTGATTTTACATATTAGTTATTACATTAGAATTTTAGATTAGTAAATACAGAATATAACATAAATAGAATGAAGATCTGCACTATGTGTATTTGTTGAAGCTCTTTGTACCTTTGACAGAGATGTTTACTTTTTGAGGGAATGTCAATCCATTTTCTCTCCCATTTTTTAAACCATTAACTCTGAGCTGATAAGATCCAGAATCTGACTCAGTGAGGTCATTGATGATGATGCCGCAGTTCCTGAGACGCACATCAGGCTCCAGCAGTGAAACACGTCCAACAAACCCGGCCTGAACCTTGTTGCTGTTCTCATTAGAGTCGAATATCACGTCTGAATCAGCACAAAATCGTTTTGATGCTTCACATTTGTAAAACACCAGATGTTTGGGTGTAAAAGTAGAATTGGTTTTGAAAGAACACGGTATGACCACACTGAGTCCAGCCTCTGCTGGTATTTCCCCTTCACTGAAAGTGACACAGTCTCCATCTTTACAGGTTTCCTTCCCCCTCACTGATGAACCTGTCAATGGAAATAGTGAGAAAGAAAAAGGGAAAGGAAGTTTTCAAATTTTAAAAATACTCCATGATATTTAATAAGTGGTAAGAGAAGGCAGACGATTTTTGTTTTATAAAACTTCTGTTTTCAGAATTAATATTTCTTCGCACATAATAACTTTTGTTAAACATGTTCTATAGAATATGTAACTATATAAATTAATAAATATAAATATTTGCCCCACAGTTGTAAAGTGACTCAACAGATGCTTCCAACGGGGACATTTATCAAAGCAAACTATTGCTGTCTACTTTGTTTACATCTTAAATGTTGGCGTTATACTAGATTATAATAAGAGATTCATACCTGTGGCAGCAGTGATGTGTCTCACAGAGAAGAGCAGAATGAGAACAAACATCCTGATTTAACGGCGGAAAACAAACGTCTCAACGTTCACTGAATGACTCAATGAAACCGGAGCAGAAACATTTAAATACGTGATGTTGCAGCTTCAAGCTTTCGTAGCCCCTCCCCCTCCGCGGCCCCCGTGAATACAGAAAAAGCATCAGCACGTAAATGAGGCCTTGTGCGGTCGGTATTTGTGATATATAAAGTAGGGTACCGCTTGCTGTCGAGTTCTTCCGCTCTGTTCTTCCTCTTTCTCTCTTCTTCTTCGTCCTCTCTGCTCTGCAATTATTTACAGGCTGGTTTGTCTTCACACTGCAGGCCCTCGTCAGCCAAACCACTCAAATGTGATCATGTGTTAATACGTATATATTTATAATCAATATCATGGTGATAATGTGCAACTTTGATACACAAAGGAACTGTGAGAAAGGACAAGTACCATGTGTGTAACAAATATTTAATCTAGTAACTCTACTTCCACATATCAACACACAATGTAACACATGAATGTGCATAGTGGGGACAAGGTGCATGTGAATGATTTGTATTATGATGATAATAATATATTTAGTCTTTAAAGGGCATCTTGACAGTTTTGTTGCAACAGCAAGAACATCTATATTAGGAACAGTGTGGTTTTTATGGTTTAATAGTTCAGTGCGCGACTTCTGTAAGTTGTGTTCTCAGAAAGGTCTTTGATGTGATCACTCATTTAAACATTGACACTTTGAGATGGTAGATTATGACTATTTCTATATTTACCTTGTTTGTGTTTATCGGCTTCTGTACTCTGCATATTGAACAATCACAACAAACGTCTCCACATTACTGAATGTACCAGAGAGGAAAACATTTATTTTTTGTAAATGAATGATGACATTTCAAACAAAAAACATGACTGGTTTGTGTTCTAGCATGTTGGTGTTTAACATATAAAACCTTTGAAATATTCCCTATCTTATTAGCAAGTTATCAGTTCCTTATTGGCAATAAAAACAACACATATCAGAAGCGCAGGTGAATATGAATGTAATTAGTTTTGGAGGTATTTGGGCAAATGAAGAAAATGAAATGTCCACCAGACGATGTCACCACATTAAATAAATGAATAAATGGTTATCCGGAGGTGCACCAGATTTTCATGGCTATCCATCCAATAGGTGTTTAGACAATTTATTCAAAATCACACGCTGACCTGATGGCAGAGGGAGACTAAGAGAACCGAATTAAATGATACCCAACAAAAGGACACTTGAGCTCTCAGAAGCAGAGAGGATGGAGGTGTGAACACTGTCACTTCACCACGGGCGCAACGTGGCCTCTGAAGATCCCAGGACCCTTCATCAGTCCATCAGGTCTGTTCATCCCAGCGGCATGAGGGCAGAGGCGCTTCACCCACAATGCAACAGTCTTCAGATCTCAGACATGACATCCTTCACGCTGGAGTACACTGCAACCTCGTCCTCCTCGTCCTCCCTGATCCTCGACCCCCCCGACGCATTCCCCCCCTCTCCGCCGTTGTTTTCCATTTCCTCTTCCACTACTTTCTTAATTTCAGCGTACTCCGTCTTGGTGGCTTCTCGGCTCTTCGCTGCCCCGCTGAGATTCTTCCTTCTCAACAGAGAGAAATCAATGCTGGCGTACAGCACATCTTTGGGCTCGGCGTCGAGGTCCGGGGCTGCCGCCGCTCCCCATTCTCCTTCAGAGGACTCTTGGTAGTAGGTGTGATCGTCTTCCACTGCTTGAGCACCGTTTATCTGTCAGGTGCAACGTAATGCATGAAACTCAATCAGCAGCTGCATCGCGAATCAAACACTGAAACAATCAGCTTGAATTTATGAAGTGAAAAAAGTATGTAGCGAGAAATGAGTCTAAAGCTCCATCATCTCTTCACTGGGTGGACTGCAGAGGGCCCAAAGGGAAAAGACAGCACAAGAGACCAGAGGTCCATTATAGCTCAAGAATAGTCTGGGCTCCCTTAATCACAAAGATGGTGATCCCTCCATGGCGTGGTAATCCTCTAGGGACAACGACTCAAGCTTTAATCATTCAATTTTCCCTCTTTTAAGGTCTAAACTATTTTAAAATGTGAATGTAATTTTAAGTCTGAATTACTCTTTACATCTCAAAGTAGAAAAACAAAAGGTGACAAATACCAGAGGAGCCGCTTGACTGGTCACCATCTCATAAGTCTCATCCCGATTAGTAGAGATCTCTTGTTTTCTTCTGAAAAAAAATTCAAACCAATGAAAAGAAAATCAACATTTATTGCGGCATTTCATCCAGAAACCACAGCTGGATTGAATCATTTGATTTAATTGTGTACCTGTGGCATTTAGTGGCCAAACAGCAAAAGACTGCCGAGAGAAGCACCCCAATGAAAAAGGCAATGATGACCTGCAGCCATGGATTTATTCCCGAGGACTGATCTGCTTTCAAGAGGAGCAAAAGAAAAGAGTCCATCTCTGAAGTAATATGCGTCATTTCACGTTCTTCTGACAGCTCGCCCAATGCTTGTGGAAGCAATGAGGGTCCTGCAGATGTCATGAGGCAGCGTTTTACTGAGAACACTCACCCTCTTTTCCCGGCGTGTTCTGTTGGATTTTGAGGTTCTCTTTTGCTTCGCCGTGGTCGTTGCTGCTGACACACTCGATGGAGGTGCCCACGTGGTCTCTGAGAGTCAGCGTGCTGTGGACCGTGTGGCCGGACACGGTGGTGACCACGGAGTACTCGCTGTGGTTCTTCAACAGCGGCCAGGTGATGGAGGGTAAGAGAAGCCCCTCGCTGACGCACACGCAGGTCAAGACCTCCGACCGAACCTCACACCTGGAGCGGCTTAAGAACCTCGGAGGCCCTGAAAGAGCACAAGCAGAATCCCAAGTTTCACAAAGCAAATCACCGCGTGAGGTGTGAGCGTGCACGTTGAGTCCAGTCTCCACCTACAGATCACTGTGACGTCAGCGTACGTCGTCACTGTCCTGTCCAGGTGTTGCGCTGTACAGGTGTACCGTCCGGAGTCTTCTGCCGCCACATGCGGGATGACGAGCGAGGCGGCCCATCCGGTCCCGTTTTGCGGGTCGGCGTCGAGTCCTCGTTCAAGCGTCGTGCCGGAGCCAAATGTGGCCCATGTGATGCGAGATGGAGGAAAGCTCTCCACGCCACAGGTGAGATTCAGAGCGGCTCCCTTCACCACCGTGGTGCTGCCGGTGATTACAGGCGACCTCACATCTGTGAAGAAAATGATGAATCTCGAATCCTAATTATCAAGTTAGGATACAAGATGTGTTTGTGCTTGCAGCCCTGCATCGTCTGCACCAGGCACGTGCACAGACACTTTGGGGGGCAGGTGCTCAAACCAAAATATTAATAAAGAGATTAAAAAAAAACACAGTATGATATTTTCAACTTATCTATTCATTTTTGTTAAAAACTAACTAAATTTATCTCATTGAATAAATACATGAATAACAGGCAAAAACTGACAAGGCCATATTATACTTAAGTAATAAGGTACTCGAGGCGAGGCAGTACTTTATCGTTACTCACTGTTTGTGACAAGAGTTGAAGCATAAGCAGCATTACACTAATAATACACCACAATATACCTCAGCAGACTGAGTCATGTAGCTCAACTTAAGACCTGTCATTTCAACAATGATATTGAATTAAACAAAACTAGTTGCCTGCCTGTATCTCTCTCCTTGTTGGGGTGAAATTCTCGCAAGAACTCGAATAAATGCCCCGTCAGATATGAAAACACATTTGGATTGATGACAGAGAGAGTAATTTATATTCTTAAACATTGATGAATGAAGAAAAAATTGTGCTCCAGCAGGACGGGCACTTTTCTCACCCAGGGCAAAAAAGCTGAGGGCGCCATCATCTAAAGGTTTTCAGGATCTACAATCCTAATTCTAAACATTTTAATCCGTTGGTCCATTAAGCTGGAGTGAAACATTTAAGGAAAAGCAAAGTTACTTGTTTAAAAGAAGGAGCCAAACACGACCACAAATGTTCTTAATTACAACAGCTGAACTTTGTACTTACATATGACTTTTACATCAACATCTTCCACCAGAGTTTGATTCAGATATTCGGCTGTGCAGATGTATCGTCCAGAATGTTCTGGTGTCACGTTAAAGGCGTAAAACGTGCTCATTCCACTCTCTTTCTGCATGAAGGTCCCAGTGTTGTTCTGCCGATTTGTGTCTGTTTCATTCTGCGTGTTTGACTCAGGAGATTTTGTCCACGCGATGAGAGATGGAGGGAAACTTTCAACCCTGCAGGTCAAGTTCAGAGTCTCGCCCTCCTTCACACTTGTGATCCCGCTGATGTTAAAATCCTTCACATCTACGATAGAGAATGACATCGTGTGTTATGTGGAAATGAGCCGATCAATAGAAACTGCTTATCATAATATATCTTTTTTAAGTAAAACATTTGACTCCGATAAGAAAATAACAATCAATGCATCTCCACTATTATATGCAATGTTAAAGCCCCCCGATATTCACAACCTGTGAAAACACTTTAATTTAGCACAGCTCAGGAAAACATGAGAAATGATATGAGAGCACTTCTCCTAGAAAACCCTTTAGACATTACAGAGTAAAGGTGAGCATGAAGGTCAGTGATACTCACAGGTCACATTCAGAGTCACCGTCTCCTCTGTAGTGACGTCGTTGGTGAATCTGACCTTACAGGTCACATCGGTGCTGCGGTGTTCAGCTGAAGGCTTAAAGGTCAAAGTTGAAACGTGTCTCTGTGTGACAGAAGTCAGGTGCTCGGTCTTCACAGCAGTGATGTTTCCTGTGATGTGAGAGTCCTTCTCTCCTGCTCCTCTCCACGTCCAGGTGATCTCAGGATCCGATCCAGAGCAGAGACCAGGAGCAGTGCAGCTCAGTGTGGTCTGCTGCCCCGCTGTCAGAGGAGGAATCCCCACTGTGGGCTTCTGGGTCAGACCTGAGGGGAGAGCAGTCAGTGAGAGGACTCAGGGGAGCAGCCTGAAGCTCAACACTCACTTCAATCCAACATCTGTGGAACTTCTAGCAGGAACTGATGCAGTTTGTACTGTTTGACCAAAGAGGTCAAAATGTAAAACATTGTTTCATGCTCCGTTCAGACTGTAAATACTGAATATCTGATGATTATTATATTATATAAATATATTCATCAAGCTCTTCGTACCTTTGACAGAGATTGTTACTTTTTGAAAGAATGTGAATCCATTTTCTCTCCCATAATATACACCGTTAACTCTGAGCTGATAAGATCCAGCGTCTGACTCAGTGAGGTCATTGATGATGATGCTGCAGATCTTCAGACGCACATCAGGCTCTAGCAGTGAAACACGTCCCATAAACCCGGCCTGAACTTTTTTGCTCCTCTTGTTAGAGTGGAATATCACATCTGAATCGTCACATCTTCTTCCTAATGGTTCACATTTGTACCACAGCAGATGTTCGGGTGTAAAAGAAGCAGCAGTGGTGAAAGAACACGGTATGACCACACAGAGTCCAGCCTCTGCAGCTATTTCTCCTTCTCTGACGGTGATACAGTATTCACCATTAAAACAGCTTGTTATTGATCCATCTGTTAATACAAACAGAGAAAAAACAGGAATTTGGGTTATTTAAATATTCTGATATAGACCACAATGTTTAATTAAATATGTTTTTTATAAATGATGCAGAAAGGTTTCTACTGTTCTTATGTTATGTTTCATATAACTGGAAGCAGCGTTGGTCAGACAACACAACATCATTTTTTTTATTTAACTAAGCTTCTATATCCATGAATAATTTTAAAAACAAATATCCATTTAAATAACTACTTAGTCTGAGTTTCCATGTGTGCAGGAGAACTAAAGACTTGAACTTGACCTAAAAGCATGTCAGGAAAACAGACATGTACCGTTATTGCTCTGTACTTTGTTCCCACTTGTCTAATGTAACACGATTATAATGAGGACGCATACCTGTGACGGCGCTGTTGTCTCCAACAGAGAACAGCAAAGTCGCCCAGATGAGAACAAACATGGTGATGCTCGATGACTGAGAGAGTCAGTGTCGGCCTCCACAGGACCAACGTTGCACTGAAGCTGCAATAACCATTAGAGGAAATGAAGCAAAGGAAACTCCACAGCTGACGGCACACATCTGAATGCAGGATGTTGCATGTTCAACTATTCCATAGTTGCAACATCTGTTCTCAAAAAGATCTTTCGTACGGTAAGTGAAGCCTTTTGCCACAATATACACAGCAACGTGTAGCTGAACCTTTTAATGAATTCTCCACCAGCTGCGATTTACACAAATGAACACGCCGAGTCCACCTTCACTTAACCAGCACATCCAGTAGTGTACAAAGACAAATGCAAGCAGGAGCCGGTTCAACAGGTTACGTTTACAGTACAAAAAGGTCGGTCAGAAATAAGTAGAAATGTTGCTCTTTACCTTTCCCGTGTGGCTCTCCTGCTCTTTCCTCTCAGCAGTGATTACTGGAGTGCTCCTTGCTTCAACTGACTCATCCTCTCCTCCCTTCACTCGTTTTCTCTGTTTGTGCAACAACGATGTTTCAGGAAGTTTCCCCACAGCGCTGAGCAGCATTTTCCCTCTCCAACGACGACAGGCTTTTATACTCATACATCTCATAATATCACCATACGTCTATCATATCACTAGAAAAGTATATTTTGATTTGTACCTTTTACATTGAATGAGAAGCATTTTTTGTTTACTTGTTTTTTTTGGAAAATCCCCCCGACTGAGGCAATGTGAACGTTTTTGAAAAGGGAAGTTGTGAAAATGTTTTTTCTATTCCGGAGGAGTCTTGAGAAACCACCAAACCATTCGAAGCACTGAGCACTGTTTTTACGTTTTTAACTGTTAATATTGAGCTACTATGTATAGCTTCTTTAATTGCAAATTAACATTGTTTTAATCTTGTATTAAAATTATTACTCATGACAAACTAAGACTGCGGCACGGTGGCGTGGTGGTTAGCACTGTTGCCTCACAGCAAGAAGGTCCTGGGTTCGATTCCGCCCAGTGGCCTTTCTGTGTGGAGTCTGCATGTTCTCCCCGTGTCTGCGTGGGTTCTCTCCGGGTTCCTCCCACAGTCCAAAGACATGCTCTGGGGATCAGGTTAATTGGTGACTCTAAATTGCCTGTAGATGTGTGAGTGTGAATGGTTGTGTGTCTCTGTGTAGCCCTGCGATTGGCTGGCGACCAATCCAGGATGTACCCTGTCTATCGCCCGAAGTTGGCTGGGATGGACTCCAGCCCCCCCGCGACCCTGTGTGCAGGATAAGCGGTTTGACGACGGACGGATGGACAAACTAAGACCCCAACGAGTCCAAAGAAATATCCACTTTCAGCATTACACCATTCAAAATGTATGCAGCAACTTAGAAAGGACTTCTGCATATTTAGATTTTTTCTTTGTCTGTATAGTTATTGAATTTAGTTAATGTAGTTACTATCCATTTGAAGTTTGCCATATATATTTCCATATTAATAACAATCAATTGTGAAATCTTGATATAAATTAGGCTAAATTAAACCTTGTGGCTGCACATTGTAAAGTCAATGTATCCATGTCTATGATGTGAATTCCTGGGCGTTAAATGTTCATCTGGTATTTTCTGTCCTGGTCCAGTAATATTTCTCCCTAAAATGCATGAAAGGAGGGCACCATTTGAAGTACAATCTGAATTTTGGTATTTCAGAGATATTTGTCTTTGAAGTTTCTTAATCTGATTATTTCCTCTCCTTCCTTCTCCGGTAGTTTTTCCTCTCTTTGCCTCTCTGCGCCTCCACAAGGTCTCCTGTCTTCTCTCATGTTCCATCCTTGTCCCCTACCTCCCTCTCTCTCTCTCTCTCTCTCTCTGATCTGAGAGGGTGCGTGCAGGTGGTGAGCTGAGAGCGTTGGCGTGTTTTATGTCGGTTTTGGCAAATAATTGACAGCTAAAGTCAACGTTGTGTACGCGTTGTGGGAATGTGCACTTTGAATGTATCTGCAGCTTTTCGGAGTTTGCAGGACGGCGTGCTGCACGCCGCCATGGATTTCGGCAGGCTGACGGGGAAGCACGGCGTGAGGATCGCGCTGAGCCCCTCGTACTCGGTGGAGGACTGCAGTCTGGCCGTGGGGAAGCTGGTGGGCCACCGCAGCGTGAAGTCCGCAGCGCGCATGAACAACGCGGTGGTCATCTTCCTCGACAGCGTGGAGAAGTCGGACGCGGTGGTGGTCAGCGGGATTGCCGTGCACGGCGCGCTCGTGCCCGTTCTGCCTCTCCCCACGCCGGCGGTGAGAGTGACGGTGTCGAACGTCCCCCCGTTCATCGGGGACGAGGCTCTGGTCAAGGAGCTGTCAAAGTATGGGAAGGTGTTGTCTCCCGTAAAGAAGGTCTCTTCGGGGTGCAAGTCCCCGCTGCTGAGACACGTGGTGTCACACAAAAGGCAACTCCTCATGGTCCTCAAGACAGGACCAAGGAGCTCAACCTGATGTTTGGAGTCGAAGTGGAGGACTTTGTGCATGTGGTGTTTGCCACTTCTGACAATATGAACTGTTTCAGGTGTGGCAGAAAAGGACATCTCGCCAGAACATGTCCGGGAAAGGACTCTGCCGAGAGTGCAGAAGAACGAGGTGTGGAGGATCGGGACGGTCAGGGAAGACAGGAGAAGACAGGTGGGGTACAACAGGAGGGAAAGGAGGGACGGGAAGAGTCAGGTGGGATCAAGCAGGCGGCTGAGAACGGACAGCAGGGGACTGGTGGGGTCCAGCAGGGTGGGGAGGCGAGTGATGGGGGCCAGGAAGGGACAAGTGGAGGACAAAAGGTAGGGTGAATGTGTGGGGAGCGGACAAGTGAAGTCCAGCGGGAGAGTGAGGTGTGTGAGAGGGGAGAAGATGGGGGGCGTGGTGGAGTCCAGCCGGCCCGCCAGGGGGGCAACAGGTGGGCCAGGTGAGTGTGGGGGTGAATGAAGAGACAGGTGGTGTCAGACAGCTTAGCCATGAGCGAAGGGAAGGTGTGAGTGGGGCTCAACAGGTGGTTCTGGGGGGTGAAGAAGGGCAGGAGGAGCTGGAAAAAAGTCAGGAGACACGTGCTGAGGAAATGCGGTCTGAAAGCGGCGCCGACGACATGGAGGGGGAGGAGGAGGAGGAACGTAAAGCCCCCCTGAAGAGAAGGAAGACGAGGAGCAGCGGAGGAGCCTCTCGAGCCAAGAAAGGGTCAGAAAACAGAAGGAGAACAAGAGGGAAAGCCGGTGAACCCGGTATCTCTACTGACTGGGATTCCACTGACAGCGCCTCTTCTGGTGGGACAGTGACCAGCAGGTACGGGGTGGGGAGAGTGAAGCTCTTCCTGGATGTAACAAAGAATATGAAGGGGGTGGACATGGAGGAGTATTTTTCTGACCTAGAGAAGTTCTCTCGCACTGCTCGGAACGGTGTGAGCAAAAAGGGTAGTGGGAGATACACCCAGCAGGAAGTCTTCCGGATGAGGAAGATCATCCTGAAGATAAACAGGGGAAGCGAAGGTGCTTCTGTGGACTGAGAGCGGCGTCCATCCGGTGGAGGAGGATCCTGGCCGGCTGATGCAAGAGGAGATGCTGGTGGGGAATGACTGAGGAGTGGAGCCAGCGTCCAAATCGACGGGCAGCTCAAGCTTTTGAATTTTTCAGCGTTGTCGTGTACGTGACATGTTTGTGCGTTTTAAAAGAAAATAAAGGTTTTTCAAAAATCAAAAAAAAATCTCTCTGTATCGTTGTGAATAAACACCTGATAATGAAAGAAATGTTGGTATTTTCTCAAATACAGTGAATTAGAATTAAATCCCTTTCCCTGATATGAACCTGTTTAAATGAAATACCTTTCCCCCCTTTTGTTCAGTTGAATAAAAGGCAATAAGCAAAATAAATGATTGAAAAAGACAATTTGGTTGAATGCGTATTGAAAACAGACAAACGTAAAATTGTTTATTATTACACTGACAAGTGTATCCGAAAAATATGTAGGACTGAGATACGCTTCTTTTCATTTACTATTATAATAATAATGTACTACAGCAGTGAAAGGTTTTAGGAAATTAGATATACTTCAAAATAAACAGTAATGAAAAAAAATTGTATTTTTAGGTTTTAAGTAGCGACTAAACAGATAAAAGTGACATTCAGGCAACAGACCTTTTGAAAGTACTTTTTTAAAAAATGGATTAAAGTGTCACGGTGTGGTTCACGTCCTGTCTTATTTTGTAGTTTTCTGCCACTCGTGTCCCTGGGTAACTTCACTTCACATGTCTCTCGTTCCTGCCTGCCTTTTTTCCCCCCTGGTACCTGTATGCGTTTTTGCCCCTTGGCCATTTTGTGTTGGAGTTTATGACTATTAAAATCTTTTTGTGTTTTGACGCCTGCATTTGAGTCCTGCCTTCCCACGCATCCGTGACATAAAGAAGAGATAAGCACCTGATGACCTCATTTCTGGGCTTCATTGATACCCCAACTGTGACAAACACCAACTCCAAATCAAAATAACATTTATTGGTTATGAACAAAACAAAATTAGAACCATAATCAAAAATGTGTTGAATATTATATTTAAGTAAAACCAGAAATTAAAAAGTTTAAACATTTTTTTTAATCATCCGTTATGGGACTACTTTAATATTAACTGTTTCATAGGTGCTTTATGTTTCACATTATAATGTATAGGTACCAAATGTGCCAGTAAGTCTAATTTGTTCAAGTTCAATATTATTTGGGCAATATCTTCATAGTTCTGAGTAGCAGAAATATCAGTCATATTAGGAAAAATAAATCCTTATTATAACATAAACATGCAATCAAATGCTCCTTGGTTCATCAAATGTAAACTAACAACATAATATATAGATTATAGGGATATAGATTAGGTAAATTAAAAGAAGTCTAGGAACCATATTCATGAACCTTCACGCATTTTGAAGGAGGAACAGAAGAACCATCTTGTTGATCCCTCAGTGGAAGCTGACGCTTCTTAGTTCAGAGGTTGAGCGATGACATCATACTCTGGGGATTGGTGGGTTTTCTGCAGTGACATGTAAGTTCTGTCCTCTTGGTTTGGCATCACTTTCTTCCTTGTGTTCCTTTGGAGAGAAGAAAGAGTGAGACATGACGTGTTGTCTCAAGGTCTCCGCTGCATCGACGTAGTGATCAAAGAACAACGTGGTGAAGTAGAGACGTACCAGAGAAACATCAAGAGGATCATGCAGACAAACATCAAGATGATATTCACAATGAGAGAAATACCAGCGATCACCATCCAGGGAAGCGCTGCACGTGGTCCATGACCTAATATTACAAATGATACAATGTAGATCAGTGTAATTAAAAGTGAACACTCAATGGCTACAATATGAACCATTCAACCGGCGTTGAAAATGAAAAATAACATCAATTTACCAATGGTTTAACTAAAAAATATTGAAATCACAGCAGATGGTGGGATTTCCATTAAAGCTGAAGGCAATAATTACACGTATTCTATTAGAATGGATTATTTAAACATTGTTCACATTTTCAAAACATCCACTCAACAGATTGTTCTTCAAGTCCAACAATAGAGTCTCAATGATCTATGTGTGTGTTCAACATCTTGCTTCCCTGAGTTTATAATGCTTAATTTATTTGCACTTGAATGAATGAATGAATGAATTTATTTTTTTCGAACATGTATAAAAAGGGAGAAAAAAAATGTTGCTACTTGTACACACAAAA